TATAATATCAAGAATAAATTCAACATGGATAATAATTTAAACATGCAAATATTAAACTATATTTTTTTTTTCAATTTAAGGTGAATTGCTTCTTTTGAAAACAAAATATTGCTCAAAATGCAACTTTTAACATTGTAAATTGTGTGCTAATGATTAACATCATCATCCAAAGAAAAATAATGTTTAGTATTTTTTCTTGAATTAAAAATCTGTATACTACACAACAACAAGTCATCCGTGGATTGTTTGGATGTGACGTCAACCGCAGCTTCATTCAAATAGATCTTAGAAGCACATGAGCATCAGCATCGATCACCGGATTTGTTCTTATAGGATGATAACTGCTGTGACTTGGAACAAAGGAGCATAAGAAATGAGCATCTTACATTGCAATCTTAGACTATCCGAAGCCCAAATTATATTTACTTCTGGATCTTTACGGAATTCTTCTTGGTCTGAAAGAACTCAAACCCTAAAACCAAGATCTCAAACCTGGCAAGGATAATATAAACTGTCCACTAATTTCCTGCATGCGGGAGATTCAACCCATTATGCATTCATTTTTATATATAAACACACACAAAACATTGAATTAAACTTTTCAAACAAGTTTATACATATACTTTAACCAACGACCTTGTGGTCTTTGCTTCAAGGTCGAGGTGGAAAATAGAGGCGAGCTCCTCAAGAAAAATATATAAGAATATATATAAGAAGATCTCATTTATCATTAGTGATCATTTCCTTGTCACTGTACTATGAACTACTTAGCTCATGACTAAGTAGACTAATTCAATGTCAACAATATCTAGAGTCAATAGTCCAATGCGACCTCAAGCACTGCGAGGCTTATGTGAAAAGCAAAGGACCTCATAACAAACAACATCCTATAATAGATTTTACTTAACAGACACAATATGTATCATATTGTAAAATCTTGACTCGTTTCATCTACAGAAATCAAGACTCATAACACCGAAGACTGCACATCACATAGCTTCACAAACATACAATGAAGCTACACATACTGCTCGCAGTTTAGAATAGTATCTCGCAAAGCTGACGACTCACAGTGAATTGAAAGTGTCATCAGTATCATACAGAGTTCGGAAGTACGAGTGTTGCAATCCTACAAGAGAATTAGACTAGCAAGACAAGCTACGCGTTTTAATGACTGATTCTAGCTAATTTTATGTGCTTGCAGTCAACATGACTTTGGATTAAAATGCAGGCTTGTTTAACATTAACAAGTCCAAATTTTTTTCCTCTCTTCAACATACACGCAAAGCTAAATATTGAAGTGAGTCGACGTTGATAGTACGTACTTCAATACGAAGACATGAAAATAGTAAATGAAAAATTTGTTTGTGGTAGGCGGACTAGTTGAGAGTGTTGATGGCAGTGGCTTATTCCTGCAGTGGAAAATGGGAGTTTGCTTCAATGCTTATTTTATGTGTGACAAAAATTATGATATTTCTTGAACTTTATGTTTATCCCTCCAGTCAAAGATAAATTCACAATATAACGTAATTGCCAACACATGATCAGTTCATCCCTCGAGTCAGATATAAATTCACAATATAACTTAATTGCTTACACATGATCAATCACAACGAACAAGCATTACATCGTGCATATTGACTTCGTGAATCCACTGAGAGACAGCCATACATCTACATGTGCTTCGTATAGCTAGAATAAATCAGAAATTTGTAGGATAACCATTTTTCTCCAGAAGGATGGTTCTACAATCAACATAAGCTAACAATTTGAAATAAAATCAAAATACATGTGTATTTTAAATACATTTATTATGTATAATAATCATGTGTATGCCTAGGTATAACAATATAAAGTTAGCTATTATTGATTGCAATACCATTATTCTAGAAAAAATGGTTTATTTTCAATATTTTGATTGATGCAACCTATAAATCTATGCGTTGTGCATACAATCTCTAACATTCTAATATCTGGATTCATGAAGTCAACACTAGTCAACTGGATGTAATTATGTGCCTTAACGAAAGAAAGAAATGGTCTCTATTTGCTTTACAGTCCATCAAATCGTCAAAGTTATTTCGTCTATAACATTGAATAAAAAATAACTTGACGTGTGGAGAAAACAACAATGGAAGGAGCAACTTCTCTCGGAGGACAACACGAGCTGGTTAGATTGCAGTCTTTGACCTTTCAACGAAGACTAGTATTAATTCTCTTTTCCGCAAATGGGAGGAAATAGTCCAACGGCACTCGGTCACATGAAGTTTACACACATCAAGTCATTGTGATAATTTAGCTAACCATGAGCGAATCACGACGGCTGGAGACTTACGATAACAAGCAGATCTCTGTTTATTTTGGAGCTCTGTTCGTTTTGAGAGAATGGGGACTTTGTTAAGCTGTCAACCAATGTTAGAACTTCTGGAAAGACCAAATTGCCTGACATTGACAATGTTTGTGTACTTCTCCACTAGAAATTTATGATGCAGATCTTATCGTCGTTTGTCAAAATGTACGATCAATTTTTCAAACCGTGGATGCTTTTAGTGATCGTCATCTTGTTCCTGTGCGGTACTGAGCTAGCTGTGATTGTCAACCAACTTATACGAATAGGGCTTTATGAGAAATCCTGTTTTTCATTCTCTTTCTTTTTTTACTTAAATTGTCAAGGTATGTGATGTTTATCTTTTTCTTCTTCTCATTGGCGTGTTCTACCACTCGTTCCATCCTTTCTCAAGCGCATGCAAATGGACCCTTTCTGTCACAAATTGAGTTTCCAACTTTTTTCTAATGAAATTTGGTTTCCTCTTTCGTCATTATGTTAATTTTATAAAGAATATTCCCTCTTCATCTTCACTAGTAATGAGTGATTGACCTGCTCCAAGTGAAACCTTCATGGAGCAACTGATAACTGCCTTTTTCTCTTTCTTTTGGTACTTGCTATTGGGAATTGTTAGCTTGTCATACTACTATAACTAAAGAAGTTGACTTAAGTTAATACACTTTTTGTCCAATGAACATGATTGATAATTTATGTTTGCAAAGTGTCATATTGAGTATTATGTACATCACATAATCAATTTTCAAGAGGTTTGTATTAATGTTGCAAACATAAAGTCAATCAATTTTCAACCATAGAGTAGCAACTTTAGACACTTTGATCTATGTGAATGGATTATATTTAAGGTAGCGTCTAGTTCTACTTCAGTTTATGTTAATTATCTCTCGTGCTACACAATTTCATATACATTGCTTAAGAAGGTAGATCTGTGATTGGTCAGAGGAAAACAAAAATGCTTTTGATACCCACCGCCAACTAATCAGAGACAGAGGTCATTGATTAATTCAAAATCCGGGGATCTCATTTACATAGGATTTTTCTTAGAAAATTAGCATTCTTGTAGGGTGAGGGATAATTAGCATAAATTGAATTAACTAACAGCTCTCATTTTTAATTGAGTATCATTAATATATTATCAAACAAACATTCTTTTCTGAAGTGAATACACATGCTCATGCATCGAAGCAAATATCACATGATTAATGATGTCATTACTGAGGAAATGAAACAATTCCAAGATAATGTGAATGAATATGTAGACCAAATTCCGAAAGGAGTTGCGTGAGCAAATTACTATGAGCAAGACATTTTGTTGTACAGCGTGTGAGTTATGAAACATGCCAGATCAAAATATTAATTTACAACAAAATCCTTTCTCAACTATTGATGCAATGAACTTGAAGCCAACATATCAACAGTACATACATCATCTGACTGAAAACGATTTGCTAATATAATGCTAGTATACCGTCTTCAACAAGCTTGATAAATGGTGCGATGATGTCCTTAAATCCTGAGCGAAAGCAATACACGATAGCTTCTCTAGTTGATGGTTCAAGGTTTCTTCCGGTGTTTTCACACCTGCGGCTGGATTTAAAGGACACATAGAAGATATAGTATTTTTCGTATTGATCGTAAAAGAAAAAAATAGTTATAAGCTTATGCAATATTCATGGGCTGCTTATAATCCCACACTATCACAATCAGACCAAATCAGAATATCACGTGACTAATTAAAAACTAATAACCTGAGTAGGACGAATCTTATCTACGATGCCACCCAATCGTTTGCACATACTCTCAAAATCGTAGATGCGACATCAATATGTGAATCATGCCACTCTTGAGTACAATGGAGATATCATAGTATACAAAATCACCATCACTTGTGCATGGATCATGCGCTATACTCATTGTAATCAACAAAAACATGTTTAGCCTGAAATGAAGTGCAAGGCGAAGAGGATAAAAGAAACTCTACTATGACATAGACACTATCGTTACAAGGACCGAAATCATTTCAGCCCGTATGTAGAAGAATGTCCCACGAGATTGAGTGATGAACATGTCCAGCCTGGTTATGTAAGAAAACTGGAGAAAATGAAGAGCATTGCATATATGTCGATGTAGGAAACCTGGTCTTTGTATGTGAACCGGTCGAGACGAGGGACCTTCAGAGCGTTGGGAGTAGAAATGCTGACAGGGCAAGCTTGAGTGAAATGTCATGCCACAAGCGCAGCACCCGAGAATCTTGGCCATGCATGCATGGCATGTCATGGCATGCGTATCGAGGACCCAGTAAGGTCGTCGTATAGCGGGCGAAGGACTGTCGATGTCCCACGGGACTCTGTGAGTACAGTACATGACCCATGCGGATAGATCGGATTACCGAGGGGGAGAGATCGACGGTAGCGCAACCCTAAACCTGGAGTCGCGGCCAAATTTGGACGAGGGACCAAGAGCACATGGCCGGGACAGCGGGACGGGGCAGGGCTCACGTGACGCGGGCATGGAGACCGACGACACCGGCATCGGATCCCCGTCTGGGATCGCGGGTGCCGGTGCGAACGAGCGAGTCAAAGGCCGTTGACTCGCCTCTTCGTCGTATCGGGTCGAATACTCCGGAGCCCTGCCGAATGTCGATCCTCATTCCTCTCGACGACGAGAGCAATCGCTGCCACTGCTCTCTTCTACTTGCGGCCCGCGCCAGACGAGGACGACGATGTTTGTCTGCCGAGGAAGCGAGCGAGCGGAGGAATTATTGCGCAGCAGCATAATGGCAAGGAGGTGGTAATTATGAGGCCTTGCGACGATGCCGACGAGCGCTCGCGGTGCGGGTGCGGGTGCGCGTGCCCGCAAGGGTTTGTCGCCCAGCTACGCTTTGGGGTTCGCCACCAGCAGCAGCTGCCGGACGCCTTGCCTTGCCGCACCGTCGCCCTCGAGGCTGCGCTGACCGGAGCGCGCGTGCCGAGTGCCTGTGAGAAGAGAAGACGCCATTGCGCCCCACTGCTGGGATCGTCGGGGTGAATGAATGATTGATTGATTGATTGATTGATTGGGAGACGGCAGCAATTCGGAGCCTGCTGTGGTCTGGCCGAGAGGAGGTGAGCGAGGGAGCATGCGGGAGGGTCGGTGGTAAATCTTCGCGGAGGAGGATCGTAGCCCTCGTTGCGATGGGGGCGTTGCGGGAGCTCAGCAGTCTGCTGGCCGAGAATGCCGAGCTGCTGACCAACAACTTGGCCGTGTTGGCGAGTTTGTGTCCGCCTCCCTTGCTCTTGAAGCAGAGTAGTGAGAGGATTACTGCGCGTCACTTGAATGGGATTCTAGCAATTGCGCAATTTCTCGCGAAATCCAATGGCGGTCAACATCGAGAGCAGCTGTTCGACATGGTTTTGGAATTTTTGCGTTCGGTCCCGAAACGGTCCAAAAGCAGCTTCTGGCCTTCCACCTTCAGCACCGAGGCCGCTTGCTCGTATTTCCCCGAACTCCTGAGCTATGTGGTGAAAGTCGCGGATGCGGATTCCAAAGTTTCGCAGGATGTGAGCAGTGTGATAGCCGGCGTAATTCAGCAGATCAGCGCAGGAGGTGACGTAGAATCCGGTCTCTCTAGCTACCCTGGCGCCAAGGCCCTCGTTTCAGCACTCGGTCAAATATGCCCTCACCTTCATGGGCCTGACTCCGAGCAGATAATTCTGTGCTTGCTGGACCTCTGGATTCAGTCTCCTCAGTCTGGAGCTTTGGTTCTCTCATCCTCTGAGGCATCCGGGACTGGTTCACCCTTGAGGGGCTACCATCAAGCTTCCTACAGTAATGGGTTCAAGACTCCTCGCAAGAGCTCTGATTACGACGGATTGGATCAGGGTGACTCGAAAGGACTCTCTTCTAGCTCTGAGAACCGAAACCACGTTACATTTTTCAGCCCTAACTCCACAGCATCTACCACACCAATCTTCACTCCTATTTCCACTCCCCTCAAACTCAGCGGGGAACAAACTCCCGTGGCCAAGTCCGGACCAATTAGTGGTCCCATTGACGAAGAACAGGTGTTCGATCAGCTTCCTGTTCCGCCCACCCAAGGCGCATTCGATGGAACTCCAGGCTTTAAAAGACATCAAGCAGGCTTACTGCTGGAGTCCACAGCTACTCTTGAGAAACAGGAAATTGCCTATCGCATACTTGCACGGATCCTCGAGAGAGCCGAGTCTGGCAGTCCGGTGAAAATTCTTCATATTCAGCAGCTACGGACGAACAGCATCAAACAACTCAAAAGTCTCCTGCCTCTTTTGAAGGTATATGTTGATAACTAGCCACCTTCTGAGGTGTCCGACTCAGCTTCTTTGTCTCTCGGTCGACAGGGAATAGAGTACTTCAGAGATGGAGCATTTGTAATCATGGAATTCATCTCGACACTGTAGCTGTATCGCGATTGAAGACTTTATACTCTCATGAACATCGTTATGTGATGACAATCAAAGAGGTGAAAGAGGGTTCGTGTCGGGAAGAGGACTCTGTCACATTATATATCTGCATTGTGGCGAGTAATGTCTAAATCATGGTTGACTGTCAATCACACCTTTTCATCTAACCGGAGCTCATTTTCGAAGGCAGCTTTCCACAGAGAGTTCAATTGCAAATTACATTAACATATTTGCATCACGTTGACAGCTCTATACGTGGCATTCAGGTTCGGAAACGAGAATGGGCAGCTGATGTGCCCGAGCTCAAGACTAAAGTTAACGTGATGTTCCAAGCGTCTCAGGCTGCGTCTATACTTCAAATCAAGTGCATATCAATGCTGGAGAAAGACGGAAAATTGCTGAAGGCTGCCCTGAGGGAAAGTCTTCCATTGTTGATGGACGCAGCAGATGGTTGCATATCATCTCCTTGGAGAAGGTCCAAGGGTTGTGAGGAATTATTTGACAGCTTGATCACAGGGGTGGCACATGTCGCTTCGCTCCATAGGAGCCAAATGCAAAGAATACTTTTGAGGTTTAAGGTGTTGGTGCTAACAGCTTGTGCTCAAGTGAGTACTTCCTTACTACGTGCGTTATAAAATGATACAAGTCTTTCGCACAATATTTGTACGTTTGCAAGTTTTTCCCTCGATTTTCTGGAATATCCGATTCTGCTGATCGTTAGCTTTAAACATTCAAGCACAAAGTGCTTATACAGCCTGTCAGAAACAGAGATGAAAGTATCTGCCTACTCTCTCCATGATTTAGAATTTGTCGTAAACATTGTGTTGACATTATGCCATGTTGTTCCAGAAGGTCTTTCGTATCAAATTTTCAAACTTTGCTGTCATTATTTGATGTTGCTGTATTATTTTTCGACACGAGTGAGTAAGATTTTTTTTTCTAGGTGAAATTTTCATCCGTTCTAATAACTTTCCCTTTGTGTTGACTGGGACTTGCTTGAATTGATCTCCTTCTGCCTATGCGTCTCAGGCCAATACTTGGGGAACGAGCCTGGGATCTTCGTTTGAAAGTATTATCAAAGGAAGCTGTACGTTGATCGAAGTTGGTTGGAAGTCAGACAGAGCTGCTGTTGAGTCTTTTGTTCTTTCTCTGGCTGCTCAAATTCGTGAGAAGGAAAAGGTAACAGACCTGCAAGATGCGTACGTTTGTGTTATTTCTTTGGATTTTTTGGCTGCGATTCCAGTCCTGTCTCGATGTAGGGTGAGAAGTAGATGAATCTGGCTGCAGCGACATGAAAGTCGATTGGTTTAAAATTGGTTCTTCTATGAAAATTTGGAGGATGCCTCACATCTTTTGTGAGGTTACAGCACTCTTCTCATGAAATACATTGTCAAGTTCTTTTCTTTCAATTTTTTTCTGATATTCTCATTAAGCTTTCAACTTGAACAGGGAGATAAAGCCAGCCAGGGTGCCGCCATGATGCAGCTGAATGTGATATCTTTTTTGGCGGACTTGTCCATTTCGCTAAACAAGCCTGAAGTTGTGGAGCTAATTTTGCCCATTTTCGTTGAAAGCTTAGAGGAAGGGGATGCTGCTACTCCCAGCCTATTGCGCCTGAAGGTAATGGAGAAGATTGACACTTACTCCCTGCTCCTGCGGTCGAGAGAATGCTTGGTTGTGGTCTCTTATTTAAAATCTCTTCAACGTGCCACTCCATGCACTTTAAAGTGTACGTATGTAAAACGCAGGCTGCTGTCATTCGAGTCTCGAGAGAATCCTTCATTTGTGGTCTTTTCTGAGCTGCTTTCCTTCTCCGTGATTCAGCTTCTTGAAGCTGTAGGACGAATGGCGTGTTTGGGATGCGAGAAATCCTACAGAGAAGTTGTTGTACTTCTCACGAGAAGTTATTTGGACAAGCTTTCAACGGTGGGATCCTCCCACAGTCGAACAATTCCTCCCGAAGGCACAACAGAACGTCTTGAGGTTGTCTGAGTCTCACGCCCTGCCGTTTTTGTGATGCAATAGTAATGTCACCATTTGTTCATCTCCTCATTTGTTCATGAGACTTTCTGCTTCATGTAGCTCGCTTGTATCAAGACTAACTGTCTGATGTGGTCTTCTTGGTCTGAAGACTCTTCCTGCAGCTTTTCTTCAAATTGCCCGTGGCCTTAGACAACCAACGCTGAGGCTGGACTATCGGCAGCGTTTGTTAGCACTGTGCTCAGATGTGGGTCTCGTCGCAGAGGCCAAGAATGGCAGGTTTACAAACATAAGCTTCTCAACAATATTTTTTGTTCTGCTAAAGTAGTTACAATTGATGGCTTATTCCTCCTCCTCTTCCTCCCCCCTTATCCATGAGGCTTCGAACAGTTAATACCCTAAGTCTTGTTGCATCGCATCCTCAACTGTACTTTTGACGTTTCTGAGTGTAGGGTCACAAGATTTACAAACTGTGGATGAGAAGTACTAGTCTTTAGTTGCCGAATTTTCCATTGATTTCGCTCATTATTTCTGCAGGAGTGGTGCTGATTTGCTTGGTCCTCTACTGTGTTCTGTTGCTGAGATGAGCGTGGACTTTGATCCAACTAAGGACGTGGATCCCTCTCTGCTTAAGCTTTACCGCAATCTGTGGTTTTACATTGCGCTCTTCGCTTTAGCTCCTCCTTTACAAAAGGGACCACTTTCGACAAAGTCAGGAGCCATCCTGAACCACATGAGTTTTGGGCAAAGCCAGGCTATGGTTGCTGGAATAAGCATGGGTTTTAGCACAGGTTCTCTTCCAATGCATGCAGTAGCTGGACCTTATGCATGGAACCCACAGTGGTCAGCGGCTGCCGAGCTGATTACACAAGGAACTCCACCCCTGGTAATTCATCTCAAAATACACTTGTTGCCACGACTGGACGTTTGAATTGAAATTATGAGGTCTCCAAATCCTCTTTAGATGACGTTGAAGAGTACAAACACCCTAGAGCAGCTGATTCCAGGCTTAAACAACGCTGATTATAGTCTGTTCTCTCCGCTGTGTGTCTTAGGTTGTAAGCTCGGTTAAGTGGTTGGAGGACGAGCTCGAGTTGAATTCCCTGCATAATCCAGGCAGTAGCAGGGGTGGAAATAATGAGAAAGCAGCTTCCGCTCAAAGAGCTGCTCTCTCAGCCGCACTTGGTGGTCGTGTAGAGACTTCATCAATGAGCACCATTTCAGGTAGAGATGAAAACCGCTTAAGCGCCGAAGTTTATTGCATGTGTAACGTCTGTATTTACATCCTGATGGAACAGATCCGGGAATCCTCCTTGGAGGTGTGCATCGAAAACATCTTCTGACATGGTCCTGATTGGGCAGGTGTGAAAGCCACATATCTACTGGCAGTAGCGTTTCTTGAAGTTTTAAGGTTCAAATGCTGTGGAGGCGTTATGCGATTCGGCTCCTCCGAGGGAGAGTATACAAGTGCTTTGAGTTTCGCTTTCAAATATCTGGAGACGCCAAATTTGACTCCTGCTGTTCATCAGTGCCTTGTGGCCATTGTTCAGCAGGCATTCATTGCTGCTATGTCATGGCTGGTTCGACCTTTCAACCTTAATATGGCTTTATTCGTAAATCTTTCAAACAACCCCTAAAAATTTACAACATTTTTGACACCTTGGAGTGAACCTAACATGGTGTAGGCCGAGCCTTGTTGCTGTATTTATATCAAGGCGTTGCTTTAACTAGACTAAACTTGTAAGTAACTTTATAAGCTTGGTACAGTTTTTCTAACTAAAGACCTGTGTTCATGTATCTCGCTTCAGTCAGAGAAAGCGTCAGCTATCGGTAAAGAAGGAGAGGAAAGAGAAGCTGTAATAGTCGCCCATGCTTGTTTCCTCATTAAAATGACTTCTCATCGGGAGGATTACATCCGAGATCTTGCGGATACTCTCCTTAATCAGCTGAAGAACACATTTTCTCAGGTAATTGTTTTCTCAGGCACGTGCCATGTCTCCATTCATTGGGATTCGAGAAGTCAGACCCTTTCTGACTGGAGTAACATCTTATGGTGTCTATTGCAGGTTCTCTGGAATCCTAGGTGTTTGAACGAACTGCTGGTGTTGGTCACGGGTACCACATCTTCTTCATCCTCTGAATTCGGTTCAGGTGCTTCGAAGCAAGTGACTCATCAAAAAGTGCGGGACTGGATAGCCCAAGCACTTCATCTTGTTCCTTGTACAATGCAAGGGCTACTTCAGGTATTTTACGTCTAAAACATCGGGTACATAATGCGCTTTCTCCGTAAATCACAGTTTGCTAACAGTTACTGAGTGGTTTCGTTGTTGACAGGAACAACTGCGGAAATTAAATACTTGGCAGTCGGCGACTAGTGAGGTTCTTTCTTTGCTGTCGGATATCCGTCTGGATGTTACAAAGACAGATAGTCACACCGGCATGGCATGCATTCCGGCTGTAACGACTGCAGCTGCTGCGGCAGCTGGTGTCAATCCGAAGTTAGCACAAACTGGCAGCGTGGAAGTTCTTTCAGCGGGGATCATAAGTGCAAGCATCAAGTCTAACTACTCAGGGGAAATCGCTGGCATGAAAAGTTGGTATGTTGGTATGGGTGGGCTGGCTAGGAAGGATGAGTTACCAGGCCGAGCTGACCATGTGCAAGATCTTGCTTTAAATGAGATGTTGACGACCAAGTTTGTTCAGCGACTTCAGCAGTTCGTCGTTGCAGCCCAGAAGGGAATGCATGTGGATGCTGCTGCTTTTCGCGAGGCTTGCTTGCGGGGTGCTGCCCTTCTGTTATCGGACCTGGTGTGCTTTCTATCTGATATTCTCTTTAGTAAAGTTTCCTTCATTGACTCTGAAATACCTACAAGGCTTGCCACACAGTTCCTTGTAAATGCTGCCCTCTTCTGAGATGCACGTCTCTGTATATGCCTTATGCTCCGCTTGTGTTTTCTGAATGAGTCTGATGATTTGACTAGCTGTCTATGGTATCCTTGGTATGATGTTTTGAAATTAATACTAATGTGAATACGGGGTCATATTAACAAGTACCGTATGTCAATACGAAATTTTCTCCAGGGAACTGGCAAGGAGTATGCAGAAGGCTTCTCTGATCTTCTCCGTTTGTTATGTTGGTGCCCTGCTCATATTTTTACTCCCGAAGCAATGGAAACGGGAGTCTTCGTGTGGACATGGGTTCTGTCTGCAGCTCCACAATTAGGCTCACGTGTGCTTGGCGAGCTGGTTGATGCCTGGATGTGGACGGTAGATACCAAGAAGGGTCTCTTCTTGTCAGGAATAGAGAATAGTGGTCCAGCAGCCAAGTTACGACCTGAACTCACTCCTGGAGAGCCTGGGCCTCCTCCACATCCAGATCCTGTGCCTGGAATCAATGCCCACCGGGTTTGGCTCGGATTTCTTCTGGATCGTTTCGAGGTTTGTTGCCACTTCTTTCCAGCTACTATTTAATGTAATATTTATAGAAATCCCCAATGCGTTACACTTCGGTCAGTAGTTCTTTTCTATTCGACTTTGAAGTCTTTAAAGTAAGAAAGGTTAGTTCTTGATGCAGACTTGAGTCTTCATTGGTCCTTGTATAGCATATATATTGACGACACAAATGAATTTTGCAGGTCATAAGGCATGGCTGCAGTGATCAGTTTCTTCTTATTGGTCGCTTGTTGCAAGGCTCCGTGACCAGGCCGCGCCAGTTTACTACTCATCCTGCTGCAGCTGGCGCGTTCTTCACTCTGATGTTCTTCAGCTTAAAATACTGCACTTTTCAAACTCAGCTTGGCTCTTTAGTGGAAAAGAGTGGCGCTCTACTACTAGAGGACGCAGTTTACAGGTACTGGTGATGTAAATATTTAGGTTTTTCAGTGTTATGTTTATGGATATCCTGACAAGAAATTATCTTGTACTCGACGGCCAGAATGCCGCTGTGTTATACTAATTTTACTAACTCGTCTGTTTCCTTCTCTCGTGCTCAGAGCTGGGTTGAGTTGGTTTTCTGTCGAGCCTGGATGGTATGACTCGAACGTGGAAGGGGTTGCGCAAGCAGAAGCAATTTCCGTAGCTCGTTTTCTACAGCTTTTAACTAGCGCAGAGCGTTCAGATACCACCCCACAAGAAGAAGTTACAGTTTCTTGTGCTGTGCGTAAACGGAGCCAGGATTTCGGACTAGCATCTGCAAACGGTGTTGCACAAATGAAAGCACAGGTTGGAATATTTTCGTACGCTGAACTTCGTCAGCCGATGTAGTCAACCTCTTTTCAGCTTAGAGTTGCTGAAGGTAATCAAGAGGTGTGCGAAGGAGACATCATAATTTGGTTTTGACAGATAATGTGCTTACCAAGTACTTGTTTCTGACAGCTGGAGGCTGCACAGTTCCTAAGAGTCAAAGTCGACGGTGATACCGCCATGAAGGAGCGGCGGAGGCAGCTCTTACTGATGTTGTGCCAATATGAGGCGGACAGATTAGATACTTGGGCTTATCCGTTGAAGTACGTTTCTCTGGCCTATGTAATATGTACTTGCCATCTGATTTCAACAAGACTTGTACACCTCCCCGTACGACTTGTTAAAGTGAGAAGACAGGAAGTGGCATGCACAATTTTTGCTTTAGTCTAAGATTGCCGATTGTTTTGTTTCCTTCTTTCTAACACGAACTTACTTTATCTGTAGGGAGAGCCTGCCCCGATGGCGTGTCAGTGGAGAACGGTGGGCTGAGTATGTGAGAGTTGCATGGTCTGTCGACCCTCGTATTGCTTTGGCTCTTGTTGCACGTTTTCCTGGTGTGGGGATTCTACGTACAGAGGTTTCATCGATGGTGCAGGTTTGTCTGATAACGTGCTTTTCTCTAATGGCCATTGGCGAATTTTAAACCATCAGTATACGCGTCTGCAAGTTGCCGATGTTATGATCAGTCCATTATCGCCGTATGACCGATGAGAGACGTGTTTTCCATATCGACTCGTTAGTTGATAGTCAGGTAGTTGGAAATCTCACCTCGTTACATTTTATTGTTGTGCAGGGACATGTTTCGGAGCTTTTTTGTATTCCCGAGGCATTACCGTATATCGTCACGCCGAAAGCTGTGGAGGAAAACTCTACTGTCTTACAGAAGCTGTCTCATTGGGCTCCCTGCTCCATAACATCCGCTCTTGAGTTTTTGACTCCTGCATATAAGGGGCACCCACGAGTCATGGCTTATGTTCTCCGTGTCTTGGAAACATATCCACCGGAGAGGGTGACGTTCTTCATGCCACAGCTTGTGCAGTCCCTTAGATATGACCAAGGAGTAAGTTCGCCACTTCATTGTTGCATGAATAAGCCATGATGATCGATAGGAAAGTTTATACTGTTCAGGATGTTAGTATCGTAGAAACGTTCGTACATGTCCAGGGATCTGAAGACAACTGTTACTCCTCACTGATAACTTCTTGTTGATTGTGTCGGACATGCAGGGACTAGTGGAAGGGTACTTGCTGGTTGCTGCGCAAAGAAGTAACCTCTTTGCACACATTCTGATATGGCAGTTACAGGTAAACCTTTGAACTCATTTTTATTATGAGACTTTGCAGTGGATTGTGCATTTGTTGATAAAATTACAACTTGTTTTGTGGCTATTTTGACAGGGAGAGGAGGCACCTACCTCCGAAGAAGCAAACAAGGAACCTGGAGCAGCTAAGGTACATTACTGACATATATCACATTCATATAGGTACCGCAATGTAGTTGAGCATTCCACTTAAGCTATCTACAAGCTTTCAGGTAAACACCTGTGCTTTTCAGGTTCAGTCGATTTCGGCCAAGTTATGGACTCTTGGCCTGAGTGCCTTAGGAGATTGATGTTCGATTCGCGGAACGTGGACGGCAACTCAAATTTATATAGCCTCTAGTGTCTAATAGAAATTCTGGGTGCCGTTATTTTACTGAGTTATTGGGCCCATCTCTTGCAGGGAAATATGTATGAAATTGTGCCAAGAGTGAAGCAACGGATAATTGATGGTTTCACGCCTGAAGCTTACAATGTGTTCCTTCGAGAGTTTCGGTTCTTTGATAAAATCACCTCCATTTCAGGTGCTCTTTATCCTTTACCAAAGGATGAACGTCGAGCTGGTATCAGAAGGTACGAACTTTACAAACTGGTCACTTTGTTGGGTGTGGAGAAGATTGATGCATAATATAGTAGCTGAAAACTCAGATTGAAGATTACCATACATGAGATAATGTTCCAGTTTGGAAATTTTGTCTTGTTCTCGTACTGCCTCAAGAACAGAGGTAGAACTTGCCGATATTTATTATCAACGCGAATACGATGAAGTTTAGAATATTTCGCATGATAGAATGGTATGTGACGTCATTCTTGTAATGTTCAGAGAATTGGAGAAGATTGAGGTTGAAGGCGATGACCTGTACCTGCCAACTGACCCCAAGATGCTTGTAAGAGGCATCAGGATGGATAGCGGAATTCCCCTACAATCAGCTGCCAAAGTACCAATTATGATAACGTTTGATGTTGTGGAGAAGGACGGTGATCACAGGGATATCAAGGGTCAGGCGTGCATTTTCAAGGTATGCAAAATTTATCGCCTTCTTGTCGAGTGATGCCTTAGCAAGATAAATTGAACTATGAAACCGCCTCTTCTTACTTCTATCACTGGGTATCGCGTACGTAAAATACGATAACGTGAGAGATGAGTCAGAAAATGTTATATTTTGTAAGATGCTGCTGCTTTTAAGATACTACTTCGCCATCTGTTAAATGTTTATATGTAGTTGATCTGATTTTGGCGATGCGGTTCGTGATCTTTAGGTCGGAGACGACTGCCGCCAAGATGTGTTGGCCCTACAGGTCATCGCTCTCATGAAGGGAATCTTTGAAGCAGTGGGTCTCAATCTGTATCTTTTTCCTTACGGTGTTCTCCCGACTGGCTATGGTAGAGGGATTATTGAGGTAAATATATAACACTCCTTTATTTGCCTGCGCTCTCGAACTGGATATTTTGTGTTCAATTATATTGATCATGAGGCCTGGCGGCACTGAAGGCAATAAATATTGAGAATTTTTTATAAGATTACAAGTTACAAGATATGAAGAAGCTTTCATACGTGTGGTGTAGTCAGTATTTCGGTCCGATTCGTACTCTAGTGCGACTCTCCAGTAGTTTTTGAGAGTATGTCCCGCGTACAGAACAACTCAGACTGTAAGTTAAGGCTGTATCAGCACTTTTGCAGTCACCAATTCAGAGAGAATCCGTGCACATTCACTTTACTTATAAGTCACTTCTTGGACAGGTCGTACCAGACACTCGTAGCCGGAACCAGATGGGGGAGATAACAGATGGGGGCTTGTATGATGTATTCAAAAATGATTACGGCCCAGTTGGTTCCGCAAGGTTCGAAAAAGCCAGGGATAACTTTATTGTCAGTAGCGCAGGCTACGCCGTAGCCAGTCTTTTGTTGCAGCCTAAAGATCGACACAACGGGAATCTTCTCTTCGACAGGTTGCATGTTCCTTCACACGCTGCTAGCGACTAATAGGAAGCTAAATATGAGGATGCTTCATTGTTTCATTTCGTCATGTTAAAATTTCGTCGAACTCCTTTTGGAAGACACTGCTCTTTCATATTTCCCGTTTGGCGCGGGCTGCTAAATCGTGGTCATCTCTTTCATCCGCTTATACGTGTGCAGTGAAGGGCGACTTGTCCACATCGATTTTGGTTTCATTTTGGAGACGTCACCAGGTGGGAACATGCGCTTCGAAAGTGCACAATTTAAGTTAAGCCATGAAATGACTCAGCTTCTGGATCCCTCCGGCTCGATGAAAAGTGATACATGGCATCGTTTTGTAAGGTACGATCCGCCCTTTCTTTCGACTCTTCAAGCAAGTTACCACATCTTTTGTCTTTTCTTTCTCCTTTCCCCCTTGAGATAGCAGTATTCGTTGTAAGGGCTTCAGACAACCTGGGGAATGACAGCATGGTCCAGAAATTTGGGAAAATGTCACATGCTGATCAACGCCATATCTTAAGGTCAGAAGTGTTGACCAACGTTTATCGCTTTGCAGTCTTTGTGTGAAAGGGTATCTGGTCGCAAGAGAGCACATGGATGGAATAATCAATACAGTACAACTAATGGTGGACAGTGGGCTACCATGCTTCAGTCGTGGTGATCCCATCGGAAATTTGCGCAAACGTTTCCACCCAGAGATGAGTGAAAGAGAGGCTGCCAACTTTATGATTAAGACTTGTAAGGATGCTTACAACAAATGGACAACAGCTGGATATGATCTCATCCAACACCTTCAACAAGGTATCGAAATGTAACGTCGCTCAATTTTCCTGGATTGCGACAAATCCATCAGACGGTCGGCCCATAGCCTTCGGCTGTGTACCGTGAGATGGAACCGCTCCAGTTGTACCATATGGATTTTTGTGGCCCTTTTGTATAGGATAACCCCACAATTGCTTAGGCAAAGCTTACTGAATTGGATACAGTCTGGATATACTGGGATAAAGTCTGCCTTGATGCTTGGCTAAATTCAGAGAAGCGATATTTTAGTTACAGCAAATTTGAGACCGGTAGGAACGGGTCCAATGAGATCCATTAACATCTCGAAGTCGGACGAAACCTTGACATCTGGGCTATATTACATCTAGGGTCGAAATAGATGTGGACAACGCGAAGCAGTTGGTATTCCGGGGCAGTAGTATCAACAAAGAGGTTTGGTAGCTTAGGACGTGCCACGAATATTGCACTGGAAGTTGTACTGCTTGTTGCCTTCCAAATTGCTTGAGTCTGTTGGGCTTTCGTAGCGAACGGAAACGTGGAAACAAAAGTATTTTCTTAAACTAGTCCCTTCTGTGTTAATGACTGGTTGAGGTTGACGGGGACGTAAGTTCAAATGAGCTGAAACGCAAGTTCATCTTTTGATCAGGAGTTCGGAAGTGTCTGCCCCATCCATACTGGTTACTCTTGGATTGTTGCACTGTCCAGACTTGAGCAATTTTTTAACTGGCCCTGGCTATCACCACTCTCACCATTCCTTGTATCGTGATAGCAAAGTCATCACTATGTGCTGTCATCCAAATTTCATACTAGATTTGCATCTGCCTTGATGCCCTGTGCCGGAATCAGAAACCCACAACAAGTTGGAACTCGTGCCAATGTGGGAGGACGGACTCCCTGCTTGACCTTCATGCACTGCATCATCATCTACTGGCCGAGTGTGAAGTCAAGTTAGGTGGAATGAATTAAAGCACCTGCGGCCTTCGGTCTGGTCCCGAATGTGATTTGTCCGTGTCTCAGAAGGGCACGGCATGTGGGTAAATGTGGATTACAAGGAGAGGACAGCATGCACGTATGCGGAGGTACTTCTTTTTTGCCAGGTGAAGATTCTGGACTGGTAGATGGTAGTTCTACATTACCATTTTTCCAAGCGGAGGGCGCGAGTATGCCACACTGTTGTCGGTAAGTGTAAGATTGTGAAGATTTGGAGAACAAAAGTACGCCATGAAAGTGTTTACAAAGTGAGGTGTCGTTGCCCGACATGTTCATGAATACGATCAACCTACATCACGCACAATTAAACCCTGTCATTCTTACGAAGTGGGCTCCACGAGGCGAAGTGCGCCTGTTGTTGGTCGTCCCCTCTGTGCAAGCACAGTTCCCGATTCATAGCCTCTTCCGCAATCGGAGGAGCAATCAGCTTAGTATCAAGAGCCACGGGCGAGGAAACCTGATGATCGGAAGATGTTAGTACACCAGAATTCTGCCTGGACATGGAATACTCCCACGTGCATGGTGATCCGGTGCTATCCGAGTCCGTCCATGCGTTAGGGCTGGCACAACTACTGCTGCCGCTGCTGCTACTGGAGATTGAGCTCGAGCTGCGGTCGTGATCGAGGAGGTGTAAGTGATTTTCCAGCTTTGCAGAGGAGGAGAATTGGGAGGTCATCCTCGGATTGTAGGAATTAGACACTGAACCGTTATGATCATGAGGCACACTTCCCAATTCAATCTCCACCACTTCAGCATGGGCTCCCGTCACCGGTCTCGAGCTGAACGGTTTTGATAACATATCAGACCTCTCTTTCTGGACTCGCTGAGTTGCTCCCATATCTTCTACCCTGAGGACCTCAGCAGCTGTTTGAAATGCTTGAAATGGTGCACGGAGTGTCTTGAGGTCCAGTCTGAAGCTCAGAGTCTCAGCCGCCGGCTGTGGACATCCGCCACCAGACACTTTGGACATGGAATGGTCGAACCGTGAACCCTCGTCCGATTGCCAGTGAGAGCTGGATTCCTGTTTGCCATCTTTGTTGCGGATGATGGCTGTGGAAGTCCTGACACATGCCGAGTCCAGAGTCTGAGAAGTGAGTTGGGGCTGGTGAAACGGAATATCAAACTCCTCGTAGTACTCGACATAAGCGCGCTTGTGGATGAAGTAGGCCAGCGGGAAAATCAGGAGCTGCAGGAATCCGAGAAGGCTGAAAAAGTAGGCGTCGATCAAGAGATGGTGCAGTGCAGCCGAGAGCGTGATGTGGAAGGCTAAGAGCTTACGAGCGACTTCGTCAGGTCTGACAAACAAGAGGACTGCCAGAGAGAAGAGGCCCATGAGCGAGACGAAGACGAAGAAGATGTGAGGGAAGAAGCAACCGGCCTGGCCCGAGGAAACGCCACCGATGAGGCCTGACAGGAATGTGAAAATTGCGATCATGATTAGGCTCCATCCGAACTCAGCTGGATGAGGCTCGAACTGGATTTCGAACGTCAGGAAGGCCATGGACCCCAAAATGACCAGCAGGTTCAGAGCCCGCAGTAATCTGATCGACCAGTAGGCTAAGTGACCCTCTCGAGATCTCTTGGCCATCGGACCTGCAGAGCCTATGTCCTTGAAGGTCGTCAATGGGCTCAGTCTTTGCAAAGCCTTTTTCAGAGATCTTTCTGGAGACTCGTTGTCAGCAGACCTCCCGAAACTTTGCTCATAAAGTATGGATCACGAACGCGTGTTTACAAGTCTTTGATGAAGATCTTCATTCTTTTCGAGGATCTTTGGAATCGAAACCTCCAGGGCCATAACTGAAGCAATACTATGAGGTCTACTTCGAAAGCCCTGTTCAGTATCGAGCCATCGCTGTGATCAGTTTCTCTTATGCAGTTCAACTGTGTTGGAGAGATGCTACTGATCTTTTCCAGAGCCAGGCAGCGAGTGGACGTGATGAGGGCAATATATTTACAAAAGCACCGATGGTTGCAATCAATAAGCTTTCTACAAGCTTCCCGTCACCGAGCTCGCTAGGATTAGAGAAGTTGTAAATTTACAATCGTCAAAGACATACCTTTGACAGCTGAATCTGCTACAAACGAAGGATTGCTAGAACTTCAAGACAACCGCTCAGGCTGGAGAAGAAGGTTCATACACAAACAGGAACTCGTGGTTCTCTTTCTCTGCTGCCTAAATATCCCTCCCTGACACCAGCTTCAATTTCGCACCTTGAAGTGTCCTCAGCACAGTGTTCTTGAACCAAGTCCGAAGCAAGCAGAGTGGAGACAAAATCAGATCGACTGTGAAAATCGATGCAAGCAGTTGCATAAGCTGTAGAGCTCAGGTCCTGAGCAGAAGAGATTCTGAGTTGCCCATCGATGTGGAAGCCGGATGAGCTAATCTGCAACTCGAGACGGCACTCGTGCCTGTAGCAATGAACGAGGCATGAGCAAGATCCAGATCAAGAGAGAGAGAGAGAGAGAGGAGCCGCTGGCAATTACCATTGTTTCGATGCCTTCAGTTTTAGAGCAACTGAAGAAAGCCAAGAAACAGTTTCGGCAGTGGACTCCAACAGCCAAGTACGCGAGGCCCCATGAAGCGCTCTTGCCCGATTCGAAAATCTGGCGAAAAGTCCATTCTGCAGACTGATGGAACTCGACCGCTGTCATCCACAGACGACACGCTTCTTGTGTGCCTCAAGCGGAATAGGAGAAAGCATAACTCTTTCAGACTGAGGGTCTGCCAGTCTTTATAAACTGGGAAACGCAGACCATCCTCATCTCCCAGATTTCTTAGCAGCTACTAATCTCTACGCTGCCTGCCTCCCATAACAGCATTGGTGTCGAAGACCACATCTCAACTGCCGAGCAACCAATGCACATCGCAAGCAGCTTTTGTCAATCTCCGGTTGGTCATGGAGTCATTAGATTTGAAAACAGCGATGTCAGCATTTTGTAGCTGTAAACGAAAGTGCTCTAAGGGCTTTTTAAGGGCATTGATTATAGTCAAAGTCAAAGGTAAGGTTAGTACTTGAGCCTGAGCATGAAACCACACACGGTAAGCATGAGCGAGGAGGGAAGGCAATCACTTTCGTGGAAGGTGGATCGCTTGTTTCACTTCCGGTGAGCCTGTGTTTGATTTTCTCTGGCTAGTGGTGCAAACCTTGGGGAGTGTCAGGACCGAAGCTAATAAGAAAAGGGGAAGAAGAAGCCTGCATACCTGATGGATGAGTCACAGTCTTTTCACCGGCGACATAGAGAGAAGTTCAAGGAACATGCCCAAGGGATGAGGCCAGAGCAGTATCAGATTCGATAGCAGTCTCGTCTCGTAAGAAGATCGTGGTCGGGTGGGTGACGGGAGCTGAGTCGAGTGATCGGACATGGTAACGTTCCACCGGACCTTGCTGTTTCTAGTTTCTATCTGCGTGCATACCAAACCAAACGCTGACGGTTAACGTGTATCTCTACCAGTACGGCCCATGTATCCTGCCCAGAAGACCTCGAGCCAGCTCGGCAGTCACATTGCATATTTAAGAAGGGATTTGCTTATCCAGGATGACAATCTGGTTAGTCCTTAAAGTTTCCAACTGAGCTCGTCTTTCCTCAACACTCCATCCACTGCTGGCAGATGCCATACAACCCTGTCTCCACCCTCTGAGGTCAAATCCAAACATTGATCACATTGATCTCTCTCTCTCTCTCTCTCTCTCTCTGAGAGAGAGAGAGAGAGAGAGAGAGAGAGAGAGAGAAATTTTCATCCGAAGGCCGGATTAGATTATGAGACCACTGATCATCCAGATCCGATACAGTCGCTGCCTCCAGGATCGCAGCCCAAGGCCTTGGCCTCAGTCGCCTTAGTTTCAGGCCTGCAGTTCAGAGAGATGGGGAGGCAGAAACACGACTGATATGGAGGCAGGGAATCAGATCTCCAAATCCGGGGGTTTAAAGATAGTTAGCCTCGACAGAACGAGGCTCTAGTTACTAACTAAAGCTAAGGGGAGGGGAGGATTTCCAGCCATCGTCTCATGGAAGAAGTTCGTATTCATTCATGGCGTATCAATGAGGTGAATACAGCGAGAGAGCTGGTGAGAATTTGAAGTGAATCCACGAAGTGAATTCACATTCACATGGGAATGGGCCGTATCAGATGGGAAGGGGACACGAGAGCCTGGGACGATATGCTGTGCCATGCCCGGCACGAGGCGCATGCTTCCAACCACCTGGCGTGTCTCCGGGTCGAGAATGTAAGTGCGAACTTTCTCCAACTGACTTGTCATCAGTGCTCTCATAAAAATTGGAGATGACAGTCTACTTGCGTATCTTCTAATACGCTTGTGAGAAATTGTGCGAGCTGTGAAGTCTTCATACTCTACGCAGACAACGCATTTGAAGTCTACATTCGATGTCGCCACGTGTTCTTACAGGCGCTAACATGATCGATGACGAGATCAGCTCGTGAAAGAGGCAAATCCCTCAAGAAAGGTAACCAACGAAGTGCAAGGCCCAGCTGAACTACGGAATATACGAGCACCGTACACAAAGAAGTGCCGACGGTGGCCTAGGTCCAGGAACTGCCCGGAATCTCACCACAAGAAAGCAAGATGCCTGCTCTGAGAAAAGGTAAACGGTCACTACATCAGCGCTCTAGTCGCTGATCTTTCCATGAATACCATTAGTAGTGCCCTGTATACCAGCTTTTATGCGACAGAAATTTGCACTGGGCTGTACTAGGACAGAAATTTGCATCGTAAGCAAATTTTTGAGCATTCTTAACCGACCAGAAAAAGGCTGCCGGAATGAAAGTTCTCATTACCGTAGCACAGATATCATGTGAAATTATGCCTATGGTTGTCACCAAATAGAAATTCTCCGGGCTGATTCTTGAAGCAAAGAACAGCCATTCAGCCCACTTCAGAACAAGCAGTACATCCACTTAAGCATAGGCTGATCGTATGGCCAATTTCAGGAAATCCGTGTTACTCACAAGTTATGACTATCAATACGATTTCATTATGGCCACATCAGTTTACTGATGCAAAGTAAGGTCCGAACTACGGGATAACCTTCTGGTACCCAGTCATCTCCTTTCAGAAGACTTCAGTGTCTCTGCACAACTTCGTTAAGAATAACAATATTCTGGTTCATGAAACACGAAGATTGTTGTAATCTGAGCATCACAACTGCGAAGGGGGTTCACCAACGGGGACTTGTTTCAGGAGCGGAACGTGTTGCAAATCTATCTATGGGAGTAGACACAGAAGCAAAGTTTAGTTGGAAAAATGTGCGAGCCACGGCAAAATACAGCTACTGAGTTCGGCAGATAGCATCGTGGACAGCTCCAAACATCTCAACTTTGCCAACTCCAGCAAGCACTTGAAAATTTGGCAAAGTGAATTTTATTTAAGTTACTTGCTTATAAAGTTTTAGTGTCAAAATCCATCGCCAAAAACACCTGGCCCGATTGAGGTCAATACGCTGTTATGTAAAAAGTAACCTTTCATTCTACATGTCCTACAGTCCAGGTACAAAAACTGTGGCATCCCAGCTCTTGTGGGCTTGAGTTCGCACTGGCGTTTATAATGGACTCCGAATCTTCATCTGCAAGACCCATAGAATTCTATCGACCATGGCTAGCAAATGGTATCATGCACCAGATCTAGAAACATTCCGTCAAGATGATAAGACACCAAAAGTTGGCGTAGGTTGATGAGGTCCTCGCGACAAGAGTGAATCGAATGACAATTTCGATGCACTCGTGCTACTCTTCAGGGATGGTTGACCTAATACCTGCATCAACAAGGTTTCGAATCGAACAGTAAGCACTTTGAAGATAAAATTTGCAAGTGAAAATCAACTCAAACAGCCAGGAAGAACGTGTCGAGCATTGTTAGAAGAAGGATCGACAAGGACTCGACAACCGCCTGTGACTGAACGCCACAAGTCTAAGTCCGAGGTCAAATCAACCAGTGAAGAAGACACGAGATCAAAGATGAGGAAAAATGGCCAGGCGAGAACTGACAAACGTGAATGGAAGGACAGCGCGAGCAGAATTCGGTATCGCCGAAAACCTATTCGAGCAGGCCGAATTGCAATCCGATCGAAACAAACGAAACACGAACGAAAAGAAAATGCTAGGTCGAAATCTCACTGGGTTTCCCGGCGACACCGTTCTCCCAAACGGAGAACTTGTAATGGACCGCCTCACGATTGGCGGCAGCGGTCTTGTGCGGCTCCTTGAGACAATTGCGCAGATGCTGCGCGCAAGCGTTGGCATACGCGACGTACGACATGCCTGCGTTTCTCCAGTATGGCGCGGCTGCCTGCGCCACCTGACCTGCTGCCTGTGCTGCCTGCGGGGCCGACATCGTCCTCTCGCTATCTCTCGCTCGCTCGCTCCGTCGAATTGCCGAAAATCTCACACTGCGATGAAGGAATGAAGCAAGGGATCGATCGAAGCTCAAGATCTCTCTCGCTCGCTCGTTTCATTCAAGAAGCATTTCACCAGCTCTGCTCTTCTGGGCTGCTAAGGGCGCCCCGCCCGCCGGGCCCACCGCCCTCGCCCTCCGCGCCTACCACGTTCTCGTCCTACCACGTTCTCGTCCTACCAAGTACGCGAGGGACGTCAGGAATCTCCCAACGAGCTTCGCTTTCCTGTGCGTATGATGGCAGAAAATCCTGGCTCTGTCGCGAATTTCGAGTCCCGATGTCGACTGCGTTCTTCTACCTCGTACCCGGTGTGAACGTACGTGGTGCTGTGTTCTTGGAGGAGGAGGGTGGGGCTCCTCGAGCTTTCGGTCGAGGAGTGGCGTGGAGGGAGGAGTGTTTCATCACGAGGTTCAATCGAGGCATGAATCGATCGGGAGCTTGATTTCTTGCACATTTCCACGCCAAGGCAACCTCGAGTTGCATGTCATACACAAAGAGCTCACGGAACCTTCGGGTTTCCCCCGGAACGTCGGAAGCACTTGGTTGGACGCACGAGAGTGATATTGAGGAATGAGATTGGTCTAGCCAAACGAGGATACTCAGTGCAAGGGTCCTCGAGAATTCACAAAGGAGTCCAAACGATCAAGTGTATTTATAAAATAAAATCCAAGTAAGGTACATTCCGGAATTGCTCCGAGCAATTCCTGATTTCTGGAGACCAACTATCGTCCTACATGGCATCTGCGAGCGCTGAGTCCAATTTTTCACCGAGCGCGACGATCCAGCCCTGCAAAGGAGTCGCCGTAAACGTCAAATAAAAATGTACTACCGGCAGTGACATGAGCAAGTGACGACGAGAGAGATATTTGTGCTCATTTCAGAACTCATGTGTATCCACGGGGATTTGACGTGATTTGACGTATCCACGACGAATACACAAGACCGTGTGTAGTCGTCGATACAAATCATAGCTACTAACCGCAGGGACTAGTACGTCTGACAAGTACGAATGCACCACAACAAACGAAGTCCTGAATGGACAAGCTGTTGGACACAACACTCACTTGGTCATTAGGTCCGAAACCTCGAAGCGTGTTACTCCCAAGAATGAGGATGCCGTCGTCGCCTAAAGGCTGAAGGATAGCAGCCTGAAAGAACAGGAACCGGGTATGTAAGCGAAGGTTGTTTTTGGCATGCCTCATCTCTCATCACGATGGGAAGTCTTAAGCTTTGCTCCTTCAATCCATTGCGCTGTCATCCTCAATCACTCTTTCACCCCTGCTGGGGAATTGATAAACTTCAATGCACAAAAAATGTGCAACTTCAAATGCTCTCCTACCTGTGTATTGGATGGCAGGAAAGAAAGCTCGAACCGGCCCGGATAAAGTGCCAGATTCGCCAAATAGTTCTCTGTAGACACCGAGGACCCACGTAAGAATTTTAATAGAGCAGCGGATTTCCCAGATAAAAATGGCCCCTCAAACAGAATTCTGACATGAAAAGCCAATATCTCTTTCGGACATATAGGTCACCAGGTGTCAGTCTATATACTTGCCAGAGTCGAGGAACAATGCAATCGGTGAGCCACACATACAAGCCCACTTTCACTGGAGACTGGAAACAAGAAGATCAATTCCAAAGTAGTGATATGATCTCTTCATCGCATCTAGTTGAAATACACATGTAGCTCTACAGGTTGAAACCAGAGAAAAGTGGATTACGCTTCTTCGAATCCTTGACCGCCTTATATAGAGATCCTTTAAGAACACCGTCGACGTCCACGATTTCAGGAACCCCTTGGTCTCTGCTCTCAGCAGCCAGGCCGGCCTGTAAGATGCAACTATTCCGATACAGCACTACCATCGTCGTTGCGGTGGTTGCTTTCTCCAAAGAGTCCCACGACCTATTGGAATTGAGAATCCATCACTCAGAAGCCGAGAGGGGAGTGAACTCGAAGGTAATCGGTCTAGACAGAGCAAAAGCTGCAAATTATAGTAACAGCGTTACAATAGACAGCTCAATATCGTCTGAGATCGGAGATGGGAGCTTACCATATGAGTTCCCGTACAACATCTGCTTGCAAGAATGAGGCTATTCTCAAGCACTCGACACCATTCAATGCGACCTGTCGTCCCGTCCATGCCACAACTCCGCTTTCACTTTCTTGAGTTCAAGGTACAAGCGCATCCAGTCCAATAGCTACGAGTTTCAAGTACCAGACAACCGGCACAACTACGAAAAATAATATTGAGCATAGGGGGTCAATAGTAGTTCAGAATCTAAACTTCGGTGACTGGAGAGAAGTAAGCTGAAATCCTAAGAATCGTTGGTTTTGCAATTTGTCTTTTTTCTGCTCACATGAGATGTCATTGGAATCAGATATGTGATCGAGCATGTCGATCGCCTCATACCATGAGAACATGACCAGTTGATGGCCAGTGTTGTCACGTGAATCTACCATTACACCTGATTATGCAGCTAATCGACTGCTCAACCTCAACATTCTTCGCACATTCTCTTTCTTAGCTTGAATAAGTTTGTCTGTGACTCAATTTGCCAAGATAATGAGCAGCTCTAAAATCCGTTGTCTGACGTGAAAGGGAAAAGGGGAGGAGAAAACTGACAGGAGACTGGGGCTTGGAGTCGATGGACTTCCACACTAAGCCGGTGAGCACCACCGTAGCGGACAGAGCCAGAGCCAGTACATCTGCCCTCGACTGCGCACTATTTACATCCTTCATAAAAGCCACATGAACCTTATTACTGCCTAATTTCGAAACCGAAAAAAAAGAAGAAGAAGAAAAAAAAAAGGTCGCTCAAAACATGACTGAGCGACGGCACACCAGGGCCATGTATCGGTCTCTGCTTCCCAAGAAAACGTGAATGGTGAAAAGGGGGAGGAGCCAAGGAAGACACATGCACGGCGAAGTACCTGGACGCATCAGCAATGGAAGAAATCCCGGAAAAGGCACGATTGAGGAGAATGGCAGCCAAGCTACCACCACCGACAAACAGCGGTACGCTCCGCACGGTCTCCGCATTCTCCACAACCCAGCCATCTCCAGAATCACGCGGCGTTCCGTCGAGACGAGATCGAACGCAGAGTCCATGGGCGCGACGCCGCCCGAGAGCACCACTCCCACATCCACCACTCCATCGGCCAAGCAGAGCCTGCGAATTCGCAATCGCCTGCATCGTCCTCGTCCTCGCGCTCGCGCTCGATCGAGAAATCCTCTGCCTCCGCTCGAAGCGCCTACGAGAGCGACTGGCCCCGGACGGCGCTCGACGGCCGTCGTGCTGATCCACAAGAAACCCGCGGCCTGGAGACGCGTGTCGGCCTCGCGCAGAGCCGAGTCGCGGCGTGCTTAACCGCGGTTAGCAGCGGTCGAGAGTCCACCGAACCGCGGTTTACGCTTATCCAGACAAGATAGAGCGGGCGGAGGGGCGGGCGTGGGGTTTGGGAGCCAGAGAGGCGTAGAGCGAGACGCGAGCGCGGGCCTCGCAGCAGCTGCAGCCGAGGCCGAGGCCATGGGGTGCCATTGAAAGAAGGGCGAAGTGCGGGGGCCGTAGTTTTGCGCAGCGGTGGTGGAGATGGCGTCTTCGTGCGGAGCTGCAGCGACGACAATGCTGGCGCAGTCGACAGCAGGGCTCGCGGCGCTGGGGTTCTCGGCCTCGAGCGTGAATGTGCCGACGCCCGCGGGCTTCAGCGGGCTGCGGGCGCTCGCGCCGCTGAAGAAGAATGCGCTCGTCGCAGGCCGAAATGCGCACAAATGCGCCGGCGTGGTGATGGCCGCCGTGGCCATTCCCGTCATCACCTTCGATGGCGCCTCGGCCGGCGAGCAGACGATCAGCCTGAAATCCGCGCGCCCTGAGACGGCCGGGGCCGTGGTGCACCGAGGCGTAATTACCGAGCTTCAGAACCGCAGGCGTGGAACGGCCTCGACCTTGACTCGCTCCGAGGTGCGGGGCGGAGGCCGCAAGCCTTTCAAGCAAAAGGGCACCGGGCAGGCGCGTCGCGGTTCTCAGAGGACCCCTCTGCGCCCCGGAGGAGGTGTGGTGTTCGGGCCCAAGCCCGTGGATTGGCGCATCAAGATCAACAAGAAGGAGAAGCAGTTGGCCATCAGCACTGCCCTCCAGAGCGCCGCCGTGGACGCGCTGGTGGTGGATGATCTCGAGACCGGGCTCACCGCCCCGAAGACCAAGGAATTCCTGGCCGCCTTGAAGCGGTGGGGCGTGAGCCCTGCTCAGTACTCGGTTATTTTCACCACGGAGGTTTCCAAAGAGCTGGAGCTGTCGAGCCGGAACATCAAGACCGTGAAGATTCTGACTCCGCGCTCTCTGAATCTCTACGACGTTTTGAGGGCCGACAAGCTCCTATTTACCAAAGCCGGCTTGGAGTATTTGAACAACACGTACGGTGCTGAAGACTATGCCGATTTTGAGGAAGGCGATATTATCGAGACCCAGGCCGAAGACGCTGCCACGGTGGCCGATGTAGAATGAACCATTCCTTCTTTCCAGTGTTAGTAACTAAGTTAAAGACCCGACGAACTTGTACGCTAGCCAGTCTTTGTACTTTTGCAGGAACGCGCTTCATGTCGGTTTTAAAAGGCTGGATTATTTCTCCTCCTGGTCGCTGGCCCTTCTTCCACACTTTGCAGTTAGGATTCCCACACTCCGTATGTAAGTTAAATGATTCATACCAGCACCAGCTAGGAACTTTACCTTCGGCTACATCAAAATCAGGAGGAGAGCAATTTAGGTACTTTCCAGCAATGGCTGTACATCTTAGGATCGTAAAAGATTTTTGAATTGAAGTCAGATACGGTTCATTGAATGGGATGGCATTTTTAAATGACGAAGAAATTCGGTACCCGTCGAAGCATTGAACTATATGTCTGTCTCTGACCTGAACCCTCGTCTGTAACTAATGGACCCGAAAACCAAATTCACATATCTTTCTGTATGTACCGGCTTCTCGACGTGTTCCGACATTGATGACCTCTTTTCCTGAATTTTTTTCTCTTCACGTCGAATTCATGCGAAGCTTGTTTGTTATCCGGGAATGTTTACTCATCCTAATTAGTCAACCAAGAGAGTATCAGGTGTGCTGAGCATCCTGTGGTTTTGGTTTCAGATTATTTTAAATTGCACGAGGGCTTTGTTTTGTGAAGCATTCATTCGTTCCGTATGCCAACTAATTTATCCTCGATAGTGAGACATATGTTTCAGCACACTCTGCGTTCACTGAACAGTCGTCAGTAAAGCAATGGGACTTTTGAAATCAACGAGGTTTGAGTATGATTCAGCAACAAGAATTAAGTTTCTCATGCGTAGATAGTGACGTGACACACCCACTCTGAAATCATAGTCTAGACGATGTAGTCTAGTACTGTATGTGTGATTGAAGCTTGTGAGGTTAGCCTCTTCATTAACCTAAGTTGTATCTCTGGTATCTTATGTGACTTTGACAGCCAAACTGGACTGACTTCCACCTCAGCAAGTAGGGGCCTGTGGAATTGTGGATTCCCTTCAACTCAATCCAAAAGGCACATGTAAATACAAATGGCATGTCAAATTTGATTGAATCTGCTTTCTTTGAGAAAAGAAAGAATGTCTGATATTTGCTAGTTTAGCCCTCCAGATGCGTATGGTGTTTTTGAATCTTTGAGTAAAGGTACTGCTAGTCGAATCCACTGAGGTTTTTGTTTGAGTCATATCTCGACCTCGACCACGCCAGGCCGTGATGTGGGCCCTCTGCCAGGCATGTTCAAGGTTCCCAGGATCTGATTTCCACGCAGATGGTGGTGTAGCATGACGAATGTCAGTTTACTCAAATTTCAATGAAGCCATTGTAAACCTGATAGTGCCACTGAAGTTCACACGATCGTTCATATGAGAATTCGATCCACAAGCTCAGACGGCCAAGTGATAAAATGTCTGGGACAAGCCCCACACCATGGATTGGATACTGTACCGGGGGAATACTGACAGGCATGGCTAAATTCAGAGCATCTTCGTTCCGAATCCTTCGAAAAGGATTCGGAACGTTAAAGTAGCCTTGAGATAAGTATTTTATCCGTTTTCAGATGGCAGTTCGAAAATCACTTCACATTTAAACGAAAATCACTTCTTCATTTAAACCTCGCTCTAACCTTTGATTCGTCTAAATAAGTAGAATGATTATTTGACTTCCAGCGTAGAATCATAACAACCATAATAATTATTGAAGTACAGTAAATTTCAATCATACTTGATTAGATATGAACTTAGTCATGAATGCTTTGGACATGCGTGTTGTCAGTTACGATCCATTAAATGGTTAGAGGTAGATCAGGAACTTCCAACATCAGACTTAGCAACTTCGCAAAGATATCAACATGTGTGCTTGAACGGATTTGGTATTTGAGGTAATATATATCCCACGTTAGTCTTTGATGATCTTGAGCATGTAATACAATTGTTATGAGAATTTTCTAAGAAACAAGTGCTATTATTTTGCAATAAATAAAATTTAAAAGTTATTTTATCTTGTGTCGAACAGAATTCAGCAGAATCACATGAACGCTCAGAAGCTGTAAAAACGGATTGTTTAATCATAAGAGGTTTCATGTGGAGTATAAGGCATTTATCTTATCATGATAAATCATGAGGCCACGAAAATATATATATATATACATACATACAAAAATAAGAAGATGGTTGTAAGATTTGCAATCTCTCAATGTTCGAATGTTGAGAGACTGCATATATATATTTTATGCATCTTGACATAAATAACTAGTAATTATGTTTTAAAATTTTCATGATTTAGTTTGATGACATTATCATGCTATATTTAGACATGTAAAAGAAATCCAGAGATTTAAAATTTAATTCATAGGTAAAAAGATAGACACACTAGATATTTGGAATCAGTATATTTCCAATTAGATTGACGTGAATTTAATGAAAAAAATGTCATTTCCTTAAGTTGTTTTCTTTTAGGAGTTATTACAGTTTTAAATTTTCTAAGATCACCTTATAAATTTTCTTTATACGTAAATTTAAATTAATAATTGTGAATAAAACATGATCATTCTTACTTTTTTATATGGTATGTTGTTGAACTAAATTTAATTTTAAAAAAATGTCCAACATAATTGTTTAATATAATTTATTTACATATAATGTGGAAGTATGAAAAGATTATCTATTTGAATTTAAGCTTCAATTGAATTGAACTGATTCCTCTTCAATTGTTTGATATTATGTTTATAAATTGAATTATTTTTATATTTTTTGCCCTATTCTATTTTACTTTTAATAGATTGAATAGAATTGTAGACTTGGATTGAAAAAGCACTGAAATTTGACTAAACTGATTTTTTTCTTGAATTTGATTTTGTTGCATTGAGATTCTAATATGTCAAATTTTTCTTGAAATCCAATGATATTGTAAGAAGAAAGAATAATTTTTATACATTTTATTGAATTTAAATTTAAAACTCGTTGTGATAAAATTAAATATTTTATATTAAAAAAATATTTGAAAAATGAGGTTTTTAAGCTTCAATCACATAATTATCAAATCAGGCTAATAAATGACATTGAATCATGTAATTTTTGTTATCAAACAAATCTATTATATGATCATTGATATGGACAGTTGAAGATAAACTCCAAGTGTCTACATTCTAGATGCAAATAGAATGACATAAATTGTATGTACAAATGAATCATTTATATAGCATAATTTTAGTATCATGTCAAATGAATTGATTCTTCTACATATTTGTATTGTTTTTATGGAATAACACTTTGAAAAATTATCTGTTAATCTTTCATAATTTTGTATCTATGTGATTTTCTACTTTGCATTTTGTAATTATCTCCTACTATAAGAAATCTATTTTATTTTTCTCTATAATCCAATATGTAAGACAACTCATACTTTAAAAATATATAGATATCACTTTATTGAGCAGAATCATTGTTAATTTTATGAATGACATTATGTGTAGTATTATCTTATTCTCTAAAACGAATCTTATATATCTATATCTATAATCATGTTACAAGCTGAAACAAGGTATAGGATTTAGTTTTTAAGTCTTGGTTAACTCTGGTTATATTGAGATTTCGATTAGAAGCTAACTACAGTTAGTTGTCATACTATTTAAAAAGATTGATTGAGTGAAGCTCTCTAACACATTTGTGTCATTCTCGGTAAAGCACATGATGTGTTCATGTTGATTAGATCTATGATTTTAGTGTGGTTTATGTATCCTTGTTACGTATAACAGCTCAATCAAGCATTACAAAAAACTGATAATATATTGATATGTGAATGATATGTGAATGAAGTTAGAAATCTGTACATAGTTTTTATAATTTTGAGGGTAATTAGACAAGACAAGCATGTCAATAAATCTTTGAACTACTACATGTCATTCAAGTATTTTAAAACATGCTTAATGTCAAAGAACAAGAAACACAACTAGGTGTTTATATTATGGTCCCTATAAAACTCTAATATTATGTCATGAACAGTAAAACTTCTCTAATAGATTCTCATGTATGTGTTAGTAATTGTATGTAGAATTTCAAAATTGCTCTAGATTGTGCACATACTGATAAGTAGGGGAAATTCCATGATCCATTCAACGGTTTGATATATGAATCAGACTTGTTGGTGCAACTTTTTATAAATGTTTACTGAGAAGAATTATGCTCTTGCTAAAGTATAGATACTTAAAAATATTATGTGAATACCAAAACATATAAAATTTTTTGACAAAAAAAAAGAGAAAGTCCTCTTGTTTGTTTGATCACCACCTTCAATCTAGAATACATAAACGGTTAATCTAGAAATGTGAACATGCTTATAATATTTAGACCACTCTAAATAACACTAAATTTTCCCATTCAAAACGTCTTGGGCTAAGATGGTCATATGTGTTCGTACATTAGTTTTTATAGCTCATGCGAAGAGAGATATAAGAGTTGTGGATAGAGCTTGGGCAAAGGATCATTTGTCCAATACCAGAGGATGTTGAGTGAAGAGTTGTGGGTAGAATCTATTCAAAGAAACATCTATTCAAGACCAAGGTGTGGTCAGACTGATTGTAAAACTTTGAGATTACACTAGATCCAAGGATAGAAGAAATGCAAAGTCTACTAGTGTACTCAATGTACCTAAACACTCCAAATCAATGAGAAAAATGTGCCCTTGAAGTGGGGCTACCAAACCGCCAAAGTATACTTCTGGAAGCCATCGGTGGAAGTAAGTTCCTGTCCTTGATCATTGCCAACAATCTACTAGCACATAACGCCTAAGTCATATGATTCAACCTGATCATGTGCCAAAATTAAGGCCACTTGAAAGAACATTGTAGATCTCAATGTGGTTCTCTTATGGTCCTATATCAGTCAAGATGATATTCGAAGATGAAACGGGGTAAAAGTCAAAGAGTGTTAGGGGCACTATGGGAGGCATGAGTCACAGGATGTAGGGATTCAGAAGCTCTCACATACTTCCCAACTTTGTCCAATATCTGACAATGTTGGAGACAAGCTCAGGATGAACTGTCCAACGAGGTTACGATTTACTGTATAAAGACATCCATCTTTCCAGGTCGCATTTCCATTTGTTTCAGCATATCATAGAATATGTTCGATGATGTCTCGGCACATACTGAAAGGTAGAATCTCACATGGGAAAATTTACACCGGGATTTATTATGATTCATTCAGTCTAGAATTTTGTAGGGATCGAAAAATCCAATGATAAATTCTTTAGACGCATATTTAGACACAAGGCATGAATGCTCCCACCTTGACTGTAAATTCTGTATCCCTAATAGGTTTCCAATTTCCATCCCTTCTGCAGCGTTCGTATTTTTTCTACTTCGTATCTGCGCCACCATTTTCTGATCATAGAAGACGAGTCCAGTGCAAGCACTTGAGGTTTCGAAACCCATGGCCATGGAACAGAGAACATTAGACAACACACGACTCAGATTTGCCCTAATACCTGATACATGCGAGACTCTCGAGTCTTCTCGTTCCAGCTTTTCAGGCTCGATTCCTGTTGTGGAAAAGAAGCTTTGTATGTCGGCATGTGAACAAATGTGCAGCACAGGTTTACGAGCGACGTCCGAACACCACCATGACTTACAGTGCAGTCTACGCCCGTGAAGCCTTGTCCATTCTCAGCCGCAGCAATGAAGGCAGATGGAGAAGGTAGAAATATCCACAAAGTTGCTCCGCATGTTTTCTGATCTTTTGACTCTGAAAATCAGACTAAGCAATTTTCATGTTTGCCTGCAAAGAGCTATTCCTTGGCAGAAAATCTAGAGAGAGAGATATGCTTCAAAGCAGCTTGCGCTCGGAGCATGTTTGTATGTTGACAAAGTGCCGGAGTTCATATTTCCCATTCTGATGAAATTGGGGCCTTTCTCAGATCCCTAAACATGGGCATATGCCCCCCCCCCCCCCCCCCCCCTTTTGCTTTCTTACTTGGTGCCCACTAGAAACTTGAAAGTCCCATTGCTTTGCAAGAAAGGTCTCTTCGAGGGTAATCAAAGCAGCTGAGGGACATCCAACTGGAGCTGGAATGAGAAGAGAGAATGACAAACATCTCACTTCTATCACAAATCTGAATGGCTCTGTTAGCAGTGTGTAGTAAGGTGACAGTTTTCGATGGAGGTGCAGCAGGTCTCATATCGAGCTGAAGACAAGGTTTTACGTCCGAGAGAGTCACTTCCTTATCACTTTGTTGACCAAACATATTTTCTGGACGTCTTTTGTCTGATCATCATTGAAGTCTGTTCCTTAGAGTTTATTTGCACCACAAGAGTGAGGCTAATCTGCATAATGGGGTTGCAAGGCCGACCCCTGAAGGAGGATTTAGTTCTGATCGATGAAACCAGGTCTTGCTTAGACAAACCCATTTCAATGAGGATGATAACGGAAAACACCAATTAGAAAAATTGTAATCCTTAAGGAAGTGTTTTGTTAGTTGCTGGATCCGGAGGAAGTGTTAAAAGAGCCATTTCAGTGTATCACTTTTTTCTGAATTGAAGACGACTATTGTTTTTAGAAGAAGCTAAAGGAAGACAGTAGAGCCACTTTTAGCCGATTTGGAGGTCTGAAGTACCTTCACGGATGGACTTAAATCTAAAGCTTCGTACGTTCCGTATTGCTTACATTAAAAATCATATAACCTAGAAAAGACTGCTGCCGTGGTGTAAATAGGGCAACTGCCGTGCAATGCATTAACTCTAGAATAATCTTACATTACCTAACCTGAATATGGTGCCATGAATTGCTAAGCAGCTGGATTTGATACAAAAAAAAATTGGACACTGTAACTTAGCTACTAAAGGAATAAGCTTAATCAAGCTCAAAACTTGGATACCATAAGCAACCCACACAAAAAACCCAAACTAGAATTTTTACTTAAGAACAAACGGATAAGTTTCATTATGAAAGAAAATACACGAGCTTTTGAATCGAGGTAGGTTTCATGGGTATCCAATATGTTAGGCTAAACAACTTGAAAAACATTAAAAGTGGTTGTCCCTCAAAAACTCCTTTGGCTGGAAATATGAACTCTACGACTTCAGAGTAAGTCCTAACCTACTATTGATATAATTAGAGCATAAGGGCGAGGACTCGCCAACCCAACAGTGGATTCCACTATAACTTTTATTTCTAGCATAACAGCTACAAATAAGAGCAACAAAGCAGTATCATCCATGTAAGCATCATATCATCCAATTAAGAAAAAACTTAAAAAAAATTCCCACAATTCAGTTCTATGCAGTTCATAACAAGTAACATCTGTTCAAAGGGTAAAGGAATGGCCCACCGGCTTCTTGGTAGATGCGTTGAAGCGTTGAAGCGTTGATGCATTAGTGCTTTGAAAAGACGATCACGTGTATCATCATCTGATGAAATTCATCCTATTTCCGAATGTAAGCCACCTTTGAAACCTGTTCGATCCCTACATCTCAAGGAACTGCAACGTTGTCGTGTGGTCTCCCTGGGGAGAAGCGGGTTTCGCTCCCCAGGAAGTGGGGGACGAATAATTTCCAGACACCCGTTGGGTATTGTCGGGGTGGTTAGTCTACTACGAAGGCTAATCAGCGATCCATTGACATTTAGTTGGCTGGCCCAGACGGAACAGTCTGCATTCTAATCATTCCAATCCATCGTACGATCGATGTATTCCTGAACAGAGCAACATATTCAAGCATTCTCTACCACCGACGCACAGACGACGAATCCGTCTGTTGATACTATGACCGCCCTCATTGAACCGAACTCTGAAATGCAACAGATGGAGTTCGAGGCAGTTGATCAGATGTGCAGTAGGAAGGCAAATCCTATATCCAATACAGAAGGTTCAGTAGACGGTGAGAAGAAGTATTAGCGTCACACGGTACCGGTCAGACAGAGGGCAGATAGCCCCGTTGAATGCACACTGCACCAATTCATAGACCGACCTCTCGCCTAGGCCCGTTGACTCGATCGTCGCGTTTGTGCTCAAGGGGATCGATGAGACGCCGAGACCTGCAGGGGACGGCATCCGGTCTCGTTTGTATGAAAGCACTGGGAATGACCGGTGTCTGACCGGGGGTCTACCGGTCAGAAACGCTTCGGACAGCGGAGGACTCGAGGAGTGGATAGTGTGCGGGGACCCACCCAACCTCGTGATGGGACAATGATTAACCGGCTCACCGGCACCTAAGACGCCGCCGCATTGAGTTCTCAGCCGTACGATCAACAACCGACGATTCGATCGCGGGGAAGGCTACTTATAACCTAGGCGGAGCATTAGCAGCCGGTGAAACCTGACCGAACGCACCGAACACGGCGGGACCCTCGTCGTGCTCGAGGGCAATGTGTAGGAGCAAGACATGGATCGTGGACGCTCGGCCCGCATCAGCATCAACATGAGCAGCGACGACGACGGTGAGTCCGACGCGGCCGCAATCGGAGCTTGCGTGGAGTGGAGTGCAGCGCGAGAGCGCCTCGCGTGGATCCGGTCTCGGGAAGCACTTTTCGCTCGAGCCTGAAGCTGCGCTGCTGATTCGGCGCAAGTGCCCGAGCCGATCCCGCGTGGACGCTAGCGTCAGCAGCGTGCGTGTCGTCCGGGCCCTCCTGGTTTCAAGCGCAAGGTTCGGATGAAGACCAGTCGTCGAGTAAGTGCGCAAGCTTTTGCCTGCCGACCGACGATCGCTTCGATCGGTCGTGCTCGTGCTCGATTCGTGCGGTTTCGATTTCAATTTCTGCTCTTTCCGCTTCGTGTTCCAGTTCGTTCATGGTCAATGCTGATGCGCGATTGTAGTCTTTGCAAGGCCCCGAGATCTGAGCCGCTCGGATCGCTCTCTCGATTGCGCATTGTCTGAGACTCTCGAGCGATCTTCATCTGCGGATCCGAAAGAAAGGTGGTCGAAATTCGGCTATTCTTCGCGACCATCGTCCCGGTTCGAGTGGTTCGAGTGGTTTGAGTGGTTCGAGTGGTTCGAGTGGTTCGAGAATTGACGGAGAGACTGAGTGAGCGGTGGAAATGGGCCGGAAAGGAAGCTCGCCCGGGCCGACGGGTGCCATCATCGGTGGCATGGAGATGAGTGATCGAGGGTCGCCTCTGCCCATGGGCGAGATGACGGTGCAAAAGCCTCGGATCAAGACCGAACGGCATTGCCGAGACATCCCGTTTTTGATCCTCTTCGGCCTGTTCTGGCTGGGTATGGTCGCCAATTCTGGATTCGGATGGAATCAGGGGAACCCGCGGAGGTGAGTGGAATTTGGGCCGATGAGTGCTCCTTGGGTGCCGTCCTTCTCTTTCCGGAGCTGCGTTCTCTGAGCAGGAGGTGCTCGTGCACATCCATCCAACCTTTGGGATGTGAATTTTAGCTCATGTGCACCGATTTTCCTCCTCAGACCTCTATCAGCGATTATGTGAGCACTGACTTTCCTGTGTATGTGCCATGGCAACGCAGGCTGCTGTATGGACTCGACTATAAAGGACAACTGTGCGAGGGAGACTTCGATGTTAAGTACTGGATGAACCCAAATCAAGTCTACGACAGCGGTGTCGTGGACAATCCATTCAACATCAAGGATGCCCGTGCCATCTGCTTGAAATCGTGCCCGAGTACTTCTGCGAATGGGACTCTTGGCTGGGTGTGCGATTACCCAGAAGGGCCCATTACACTGACGAAAACCGAGTGGGCCGATCGGACATATGATTACTTTGATACGCTGAGCGCCGAGCTCAAGAACACCTCCTTGAACTTGCTTGGGCCCTGTTATCCAGTTCTCTTCAATAGCTCCAACTGTAAGTCCAATCCAGTCCCTTCGACCCCAATTTGTGCTTTAGTGTAAGTAATCCAATTGATAACCTGCACAACTGTGCTTGTAAATTCTGTTCTTTACGTTCGGTAAGCATTTGAAGTTGCTTACATGGCCTACTACGCACCTGGACCCGGGTTGAGTACAGGGTAGGTTTCATGGTGACCAATCAGCTCGAGGATCTATTTCCTTCCTAGATTATCAATTGAGTTTCTGCGTTCGGAAGTTTTCGTTTGCATCCGTATGCCATACGCAAGTTGTCCTGATACAGTTGATTACTGTCGAATGCAGTCTTCTGGAGCTGTCAGCTTACAGCGTCACCTTCCAATGAGAGTCTTGCTCAATGGACTTCTTTGGGTGGTGTTTCTGTAAACCAAGGAGAATTCATTGTTAAAGCTATTCAGGATCTTCTGAGTGCTCCTGGAGAGATATTCAAGGTTCGTTGTTGAAACACAGACGGGGATTAAATAATCACTGAATGAAAGAAAACATGGACTTTCAGTTGCCGTCATTCTGCTGTAACCACGGAAGGCAGAAGACTTCTACTGTCATCTTGATGGAAGAGGCCTGCACACGAACCTTACACGTTATGGGGAAATCTGATCAGCACATTACCCACGTGAATTATGGTAGTCCGTAGAGTAATTATTTTATTTTATTTTTAATTTTATCGTACCATAGGCGATGCGACTCTTTCCGGTGAAACGTAGTCGCAAATAATCAATTTTCTAATTTCAGCGACCCTCGGATGTTGGAATTGGATGCGCGCAGAGATACATTGCAGATTTGGAAAACGCATGGCCTGTGCTAGTTGTGTGTGGAGGCATTGCGCCACTTCTTCTCTCTATTGTCTGGCTGGTCGTGATTCGGTTATTTGCGGGAGTTGTCACTTGGATTACCATCATCGTCTTGAATTTTGCCACCATTGCGGTCACTGTCTACCTATATATCAAAGGTACAAAGCTTGATAGTCCGCACTGAATTATTCCGTTCAGGATTGAAGCCAAAAGTTCGACTTAAAGAACTTAAAAGTTTGCGATTTTTCACCAATGTGGTGGTTGATGCGCAGCTGGGTGGATCGGGACCGATGCAATCTCTGCTGTCATCGGTTCTGATGCGGTCGATACCTTAGCACTGGAGACTTCTCACAGCGTATGTAAACTTCTCGAGCTACTTTGATTTCGAACATATATAATGTGAACGATAATGAAAGAAGTGAATGCAATCGTGGGGCCAGTTGTAGATTCTTGAAAGTTTGAGAGTGATTCTAGGAGATGGTCATCGTGTTTCGAAATGACAAATGCTTGATTAGTCTATGGGCTTTACGAATGAAATTGTTTTCAACCTACCAGTTCACCATCGTTAAAGAGGAACACAGGGCTACTTCGAATTACTCTCGCCGTGTGACGCTAACTATGGTTTGAAATTGCAGATGCAAAATCATCTGAAGATTGTGGCGGTGGTTATGACCATCATATCGGTTATTATAGTTCTTATCACAGTGGTTCTCATCAAGCGCGTATTCATGGCTGTGGCTGTCCTGAAGGTGAGACTTGACTCTTGCTAACCTCAATCAACTCTTCGTTGCTTTACATGGTAGAAAATAAGGACATAGGGATTCTCAACAACAAGCTCAAACGTCATTTTATGTGACCTATCGTTGACCGCATTCTTGCCTGTTCGGAAAACAGTAGAGGAGAGAATGACAGCTTGTCTCCCGCTTTTACATGAAATTTAGATATCAACAAATTTGTCAACCGGAGGCCTTGACGGAATCATCTACCTGTTGCTCTGGCAGGTAGCTTCAAAGGCGATCGGAGCTATTCCATCACTTATGATATATCCAGTATTTCCTGCCCTTGTATTGCTGTTCTTCTTCGTATACTGGATGGTAACGCTGCTGTACCTGTTTAGCGCCGGAGAGATTACGCAGAATGTTTGCAACAATGGTTGTTGTGCGTACGATCTTCTAGCTGGCAATGTGACATGTGGCGGATGCTGTGGATATGAGTTTCACCACACAAAAAACATAGTCTGGTCTATATTCTATCACATATTTGGAGGATTTTGGACAGCTGCGTTTATCAATGCATGTTCTCTCACAATTATCGCTGGAGCCGTCGTATCCTACTACTGGGTCCGGGGAGAAAGAGCAGTAAGAGCATTTCTTTTCCAGATGACAACACGCAACGCCATGGATTTGGATTTGGGGAATTTCTGCTTGATAGACAATAACGTTCTGTTTGTCAAAATAGTAAAAGCCATGCGTGTTACGTCGTCTCCACACAAATCAATACGCATGAATGGGATTGGACAAAGCTCTAGCAACTAACAGACAACGTTTGGTCATGCATGTATCGCAGCTGCTCCCAACATTTCCTGTTCTTTCGTCAACAAAAAGACTCCTGCGATACAGTTTGGGCTCCGTGGCAATTGGATCGTTCTTGGTCGCTGTCATTCAGATGATCCGTTTCATCTTAGAATTCATTCGGAACAAACTCAAGGCAGTGGAGGCAGCTCCTGGCGGTTGCTTGATCTCAATATTATGTTGCTGCGCCCAGTGCTGTCTCGGTTGTATTGAATGGACTCTCAAGTTCATCAACAGAAACGCCTACATAGTGGTGAGTCAAACTTGCAGTTTTGTGACCATCTTCAGGGAAATTGGACACCGCATATACAAACCGGACATATCATCATACTCTCGTTTCTCTCTTGTGCAGATTGCTATCAAAGGCAAGGGTTTTTTCCGAGCTGCAGCTAAGGCCTCGGGTCTGATCATCAATAACATTCTCAGGGTGGGAACCGTGAACGTGCTTGGAGACTTTGTGCTGTTTTTGGGGAAAGCCTGTGTAAGCGTGGCTGGTGCTTTCTTTGCGTTCTTGATGCTCGATCAGCATCGCTATAAATCTGGTAGCAACAAAGTATCGTCTCCGCTCTTTCCTGTTCTGGTAAGCTGACCAACATTCGATTCTAATATTGTCGCGACCTTGTCTGCTTTCCTTTGTAATCGCACAGTAGTTTTTCTCTGTTCCGTATTTGTACAGTGTACTGGTTAAGAATGAGCCCTTGTGTGCTGATTCGTGCAGTTCTGCTGGATCTTCGGGTATTCGATAGCTTCTATGTTCTTTGGGGTGGTGGAAATGGCTATCGACACCATTCTGCTCTCGTTCTGCATCGACTGCGAGGAGAACAATGGCAATGCTCGTTTTGCTCCTCCTCTGCTCATGGATACTTTGGGCAGGCATGCTCGCTATGAGGAGGAACGAAAATCAGCGCGTCGTGGCTAGATTGGTATCGCATTAGTGGCAAGTTTGTGCATAAAAAATCATCCAATCATCAAGTCACGGGATAGCATCTTTCACATTTTTGATTCAGGCTGGAAGTGCTCTGTACATATTTTGTCTCCTTTCTCCATGTACACTATGTTCGACCCAAAGATGTCCTCGCTCGTAGATTAGCAAGAGTTCTGGACGCGATCGATGGTAGTAACAATCTGACAGGGCACGGGTAGAGTGTGAAGTTTGTAAGTCGATCAGCAGCAGGCAGTGATAGTCGGAATGTGAAGCCCTAGGAAGTAGAGAGTTAACGAGCACAATATTTGTATCTAATTTTTTGTGAGGCCCGACAAAGACCTCAAAAGTGAGGTATTGATCTGCCCATCGGATTCGATGGATTTATTTGCATGGATTGTATCTAAGCACAGAGAAGGCGGTATGAAAAATCAGAGGTGCTGGAACTCTGGCAAAGTGGATCTAGCTCATGAAATCATTCTGCCTAGGTCCATCGTTCTCGTGTCTGCTGGTCTCATGTGATGTGTATACAACATTCTCAAGCCGCCAATGCACAAGTCTGTTTAAACGACTTGATTTGCTCAGAGATGAAAGAGCATCAATGACAAGAAACCGTTCTTCTGAGATGAATTCTACATTCACACTCCGATCTGAAAATGTAGCCCGGTGGACGTCTACTGCCGGGATAGATATTTCAGCGTACGAGAGACACTTGCTAACCTCATTCGCACCGAGCGTTGATGCCATTGTTCGCGAATCCGATGCAACGTTTCTTTCCTGGATACCTGAAGGAAATATGAAGAAAACAAGGGAACATCTTCCTGGGGACCAAATCGCCGATAATATATCGAACGTATGAGACAATGGTGGGGTCGTTATAGACAAGCCAATGACAGATGTCCTCAGCCTGTAAATCTACGTCAAGTGCTTCGCAATTTACGTAGAGGATCACAAATGTCCTCAGTTTGCAGCTGCTGCCATCCCCTCCAAGTGCAGACAGAAAGATCAGAATCAGAGAGTTCAACATCAGAGTGTCAGCAGGTCTGTCATCCGATGCGATCGATGGCTCTCGTGTTAGGGACTTGTACAACCGTTGTTGCAGCTCCGTCGGGTTTACGTTGGGCACTGCCCTTACCCGCGGAGTCCCAAATGGCCCGGAATGAGACCAAGGGCCAACTATGTAACCAAAAATGATGAGAAGACGCCATCAAGAAATTCATTAGATTTTCAATACTATCCAGATTTCAATTTAGTATTGTTTGCAATCTAGAACACCTTCCAACTTAATATATTCCAATAAATACCTATTTTTTTTCTGTAAAACAGTGGAACAAAGTAATGTACTAAGTTGGTTGTCTATCTTGTAATCTATCTCTAAATGAGTGCAACTAATCATATCTGACTCCAATGCTAAACTAGAAAAAAGTTCTTTTTGTAAATACACCTATAATAGCCCGTTATGTTTTCACTCACCACCCACTTAGGAGAATGAATAAAGATTTTCTTGATCACGTGTATGATTGATAACAAGCACATCTGTAATTATAATGCGATCCTTCCGAATCAAATATACATCACTCGTAATCTTAGTACACAGCGAGATGTATGAGAATTTTCTTCATGAAAAATGTTCAACCTCTCCACATCATAAAAATCTCATAATCTCATCTTCAATAATATTATTGATACTTCTATTTTGACTTAGAGAAATTTTACAGTAATGAGAACATTTTGAAGTAATACAACCTTACCAAGTACACAAGTATTAGGTTCAAGTTATCACAACACGCACTTGAGTTATCTTGTGTTCATCTTGGGGTTGGATGACTTATGATGCTAGTATATACTAGCTCATCTAGTGAGATGGGCTGCACTTTAACATAAAATATCCATCTATTGGAATGAATATCTACTAGAACACATTATGAGACTTAACAATGAAGAAGAAATTGAAATGAGACTTCAAAATAATTATAATGTAAGTATTTCCTCCCTCTCCTGTTGGATAGCATTTGTCCTAGCGCAAATTTGACAAAGCATATCATAGAGCTGCTCACCCATTCTTCTTGTTATCAAGAGAAAAGGTAAGACGCGTATTGGTGCTGTGTTGGACCTCCTCTGCTCTTCAATGGTTTCATAGAACCTATTCTGTGAGAGTTAATAAGACTACGAAGTGTAGTAACTCTTCAGGGTAGGGTATGTTTTATTTCGTATTCTTCAAATTCTTTCAATTTCATATGTTTCGATCACGAAACTTGAAAGCTCTTCTTTATATGCCAATTGTATGTTGTTTTCTGGAAGAACATTTCCGTATGGTCGTTGCACCATCGCATGAAGAAAAACTGTTATCTTCTATTTCTCCTATGGAGGTTTGAAGCCGAATGTTCCATGAGATTCGTTGATATACGAATCAGATACATTTATAATCAAGTACTAAAAGATACATCATTGGTTTGTCATGTTTTTCTGGAGATATTTATTTGATGGAACCCATCAAAATGTAGATTAGTTGATGGGACCATCAAGTTTCAATTTACCCGATGGTATCACATCGAGGTTCCATGTCACAGCCAAATCTGCTCTTTAAGAAAGTAACTTTATTTCAAAGATGTATTTATTTGCAGCAATTCATATGCGCAAAAATCTTCATTATGGTAGTATGGAGTGATAAATCTGTTAAAACAGAAATTTGATAATTTGAATAAAGAACTCAGGATTATTATAGGTTGAAGTTGTGCTGCCAGTGACATTGCATTGTTTCTCATATCATTGTTTACAGATAAAAAAATCCAGATTGTGCTTGTGTATATTGCTTTTGGAAAACGAATGCAACATTTGATATCTAGAAGCTTTGATAAATTCGTTTGGATTGAGAAATTTTGCGAGCGAGAGCATATCTAATTTTGTTATAACTCTATTGGGTGGAAAAATCTTGCCAGCGAGAAGATATCTAATTTTGTTAAAATTCCAATGGTATTACAAGAAACACAAATTAATACATATTTATACAAGAACATATATTAAAGTTTATTTGTATAAGAACATATCTATATTAAAATATATATTGGAATTCATCTATTTGTATAAGAATATATCTATATTACAACATATATTAGAATTCATCTATATATAATAGGTATATCATCATCTTTCATTCATAGTAGAAATTGAAACTTAATGGGTACCACTTTATTTTAGTGGTTAAACTTAATATATGTAATGTTTTAATTGAAAATAATATTCATCGATATTCGCAGTTCCCACACCAAACATTTTAAAGGTCTAATAATAATTTAGATCTTACACATTTCACAACTTTACAAACTTGGAAGAAAATTCACTCCATGGTTTCGCGGATAACTACCAACTCGTAAAAAAACTCATCATTTTGTACTCCCGAACAAACGGAAAGAGACAAGAGTCCACTAGATTTAACTTGAATTCTACTACTCCATTTCCAGCAAAAGTCACGGGTGACTTGATAGCTTGTATGGAGTTCTAAAATGTCATTCTTTCAAATTTCTATTCAGGACGGAAATTATCCTACTACTTTTTTTACAGTGGCGTTGTAACATCATCCTGTTTTCAAGAGCGAGTACTTGATTTGAGAGGTAACACATGATCATTTCGATGACTCAGTTTCCATCTCAACTAGCAACAATGATCATGTCCGACGACAACTCGAAACGACTCGAACGCTCAAAATTTCTGGAAATTTTCGACCTGGTCTTTTCGTCTCCCCTTCTCACTGACAGATGCTCTAAGCTGCAATGTGAAGATAAAGCATCTAACTCTCTTTCCTCTCGAACTTCTCCGATTCAAGACAGGGAAGTTCAGATTTTCCGAACTGCTTCTGGCCGAGCGAATATGTGCGACAGAAGGAGCTTCTTCCAAGGACCAAGTGCGCCAAGTGCGGTCTTGGAGGCAGGGGCTCCAATTCTCTGCTGGAAAAGCTTCGGCCCGTACTCGAGTGGATGTCCTGTGCGTGTTTCTCGCCAAGCACAACCATCTCGTGTCGTCTCGTGTCATCTCAGCACACCGCCAAGTGACTCGTCGCCCCGATGAGCAACCAGCAACCCCGTTCAGGCTCGACCGTGTGTCCTCCGACAGAGCAGACCAGGCACCAGGCAGGCGCTTCCATGGATGGTGGTTGGCCTGGAGAGGGACGAGAGGACAAGAAGAAGATACAAGAAGGGAGAAAAAAGCATGACTCGAGAAATGTGATCAGACCAGAAAGGTGTACAAAGTCTCTTCGTCTTCGCACCATCTCGCAGTCATTTTCAGCTGTACAATACATCATTCATCTGCGTTTGCGGGCGTTGGCGTGCTGCTTGCACGAACGATTGGCCAGTAGGGCATTACTCTAAAGAATGGCAGCGTTATTTGTGGTCTGCACGGTCACTATCCACGGGCCCATCTCCAGACCGATATCACGATCACCACAGTAACGAACATGCCGACATACGATATCCACTTGTCCACTCGGTGTCGCCGTTCGATCACTCTCAGCACGGAGTTCGACAGTCCCACGGTGTTCAAGATATCAAGCGCCTTCCGTTGTGCCGACTGCAAGTGGACACACGCACGACATCAGAACACGACGACTAAACGCTGACAGCTCACAGAATTGGAACTGAATGAACAAACGCGTGAAGGTAGTGATGAATTGATAACTCGGACACGTAACAAAACAGCTTAGCCCGGGCAACAAAATCACTACATCCAGCTCTGTTCAACGTGCGGTGACGAGACCCACGAAGAGGTCCTTCGTCTTACTCGAGTCACAGGCGCAGAGTTTCTTGAAACATTTGAATCTAAAAATTGCACACCGTAAGGAAAACTTCATGTTCACAGCGTTTTCTGTGAAGCCAGTCTGGGACGCCCGTCGTGGTGAGAAAGTAAAACTTCAAGGCTGGTGACAAGCCGGCCATGAGGAGTATTGAGTTCGACATACCTTCAATCTCTCTCGCTGCTCGGAATACTTGGCCAGCACGGTTGCCCCGGTAGCATATGCCTCGTCGAGCATATTGGACGATCTCTGAACGGACTGTATCGTTTGAGCCTCTTCGTCCAGAACTTGCAAAATAGTTGCAGAGTCGCCATTCTGTGCACATCAATCGGTTCAAATTACATCCACATACCCGGAGGTGAATATCAGACCATATCCTGAACAAGTAATTTAGGTCGTGCGAGCAGGCACAGAAATTGGGCACAACAGCTACCGGGCGAGCAAGCCCCACGAAGACTTCGACCCAAAAAAGCACGCAGGAATATTGCCCGAGGGTAACGAAAGAACATACAATCTCACTTTCTAACATACATCGGCTTCAGTCATAAGATGTCGGCACAGTCGGGGCCTGAGGTTGCCCTACCCTTCCGAAGAAGGTAATACATGTGACTGATCTTTGACAGCAAGAATGCAACAGGCTCACAGCTCGAATACGAACCGTCCTCCGGAAAAGCTCAGCCCTCTCCTGCGCTTCGACATGCCGGCGATGCTGCCGCCCCAGGTACTTGTCCAGCCCGAGCTTCAACGAATCCGACTCCTCGGCAATTTGCTCCACCTTGCTGCCGATTCACCCACACCCACCAGCATCCGAGGTCACGGCTTTAGAATCCACATCCTGCCAGCAGCAGCAGCAGCAGCAGCAGCGATGGGAGCGGCGAGGAGGGGGCAAAGTGAGACAAGCGAAGCAGCCGACCATCGAAGCTTGCAGAGGAGGAGAGACAAGGCCGCGTACCGTTTCCACAGATCTCTCTGCGCCTTGGGCATCTGCTGGCGCCACAGGCGCTCCATCTCCACGCTGCTCTGCTGCAGCTGCGCCAGATCGCGCTGCACGCCCTGCGCCAGATCCGAGCCCGATGCGCCGCCCGCCGTTTCCAGGCGCTCCAGCCGCTCGAGGCCGTCGCGCACCCTGAGCAGCGCGTGCCGCGCTTGCTGGTACACGTCCGACAGAGTCGCGGGGGCGGCCCCGCTCCCCATCATCGCCATCCTCGATTCCGGCCCTCGATCACACCTCGGGCTCAATTCGATCGACGCCCAATTCGGCCTCTACTCGAGTCGCTAATCCACGAAATTGACGCCGGAGCTGCACAAAACCCAGCCACAAGAACTCAGTCTCTCTGCGCCACCGACCATGGCCACGAAGCCCATCGCTCGACCGATCGGTCCCGCAATTCAGCCGCAAACATTCTTGGTGCTCCAGTCTGGCATTGCGTCGCGAAATCGCCACATCTGCCATTGCCCCACTTACGTCATCGCAGCGTCGACGCACTCGTTCCTCCTTCTGGCCACCGGCTTCCGAATTCTCTCCGGACCCGCGCGTGCCTTGGGTCGCACTCCGCCTCGGCCGACGACGATGTTGTCCTGCACGTTGTGACAGTCCGACGGTTCCCTCCTTTCTTCCGAGCTTTTCCTTCTAATCATTCACCAAATCTCGCCATACGACGTTCAAAGGTTTCCCACTAAACCATCTTCCACAACAAAGATGAAACAAACACAGAGGCTTTTTTTAGGCCTTGCAAACAAATGAATGTTCAGGTTTTGATAGTGTTTCGTTGGAATATCAGGCTGCCACTTTTTTAATTCGAGAGACACAAACGTCTATCATCCCTTCCAAGAACACAAATTCTACGCTCTTACCTCATCCAAGGCGACCATAGTTCATGCCTATGATCGATCAAGGCACGAAACACTGCACACACTCTGCTAGGGTTGAATCTAAGCACATGCAGTCAATCGGTAAAATGTCCGCGTATGAATTTCATGACAATATGCCTGTCCTGGATATTGGCTCCTAGATATATTCTATTGTTCCACTAAAATTTTATTTAATTGTACTTATTTGACGTGAGGAAGATAGTTTAAGGTTCAAACACTGCAGTATGTAAATGCGTTTGTGTTTCGATGCGACAACTTATTTTGTTGAATGAAGTGTTTTCAAATAATGTCAAGCTTTATCACAATGAAAACTGATAATGTTGTTTATATATGATATGAAATCATCACTCATACTGAAAAAACTTACTGAATTTTCGTTAAAAGAAAATTTTAAAAATTACAAATTTTGGATTGCACATATTTTATTCCTTCCTTTACAGATTCTAATATTAGGGGTATATCACATTTGCCCAAAAAACGAAACTTGAAAATTTACCAGATCTGAAAATGAGGATATTTCCTTAATTCTAATAACGATTGAAAGATATTTTAGATATATAATTTACGAAATATTTATTAATATTTCTATTCAACCCAAACATAGACTGAAACTTCGAGGAGAAAATAATATATAATATGAGTAAAATCTATCCATAAAAAAATTTCATTATGTTAAAGATCTCAAAAATTAATAATTTATATATATAAAATCATCATGACAATTATATTTTTGCTAAATATAAAATTCTGTTACACGCCAAAATCTATTTAACTTATTTAAAAGTTTAGGAAAAGATTCTAAACAGTGGTTGCATGTTTCAACTTATAAAAATTTGATGTCATGTGCATAATAAACCTCAGTATTGAATATTGTAATCCATATTAAATTTTTCAATCATTTGTAAGGATTATTAGAATAGTGATGAATGAAATAAACACATTCTCTTATCTTCTGATGATTTGCATGAGGATTATAATTGTCTACTTTTCTCAGTTTCAACTTCAGATTTCATTAAATTATTACTTGACATGGTATACTTAAAATTTAATATCATAATATGAATAGAACTTTTTCCCTGATATTTCTGTTTAATTTGCACTTCAATTTTAGTTCCTTTGATTCATCAGTTCATAAATAGATGTGAAAAGAAAATATATTAATGATATAGTGGTTTATAACATTAATATTCGTATATCATACCTTGTAATAAGAGTGATTTAATAAAAAATCATAATAATTGCATATCATTATTTTGAATGGAAATCGACATGTAAACAGCCCATATGAAAAAAGTCGACAGATTTAGTATCATTTTATTCTATTTAAGATAAATAATACAACGATTAATTTGATTGATGTGCACATTGACAAATCCTACATCTTCGAAACACTTTTTAGAGAAATCCAAATCACTTTTAATATAATGTATATGTGATATACTATGTTATTAACACTGCAAGATGAGTGATATATTGAATTGATATATACTATAAGTTTATACTAATACATAGAGATTTACACATATTTTATGACAGAAACATTCCTGATCTATCATGCTCATGATACATGTTTCGCTATGTCTAGAATCATAGTTCATTAGCCAATATTGTGTAAAATTGATTGTCTCAACTCAGCAATAAGACAGGGCATAAGAATCTACGTTGAATTTAATCTACGTCTATTGTCTTAACTTCATATGTTCATGCAATCACTACTTCTCATCTTTCCTCATAAGTAGGTAGTAACGATATAATTCTAGCCAAACATTTATAGTTAAAGTCATGTCAAGTGACAAAGCTAATTATATAGATGACTATATGTTTATATCAATCACGTTTTTGAAAGTATGTCACGAACACCAGTAACCATGGAGAAGGATGGAGAATGGAAGTGATTCTTTCACATGTCTTGGGATGTGATCAATTATGACTTGAAATTGGATATTTCACCTGTATCTATTGTTTGTGCGATGCTAAAACATATTTGAGAATTTCTTTCCATTTTTTATACGTAATTGTCGTGGATTATAAATGTGACCGTGAGATATTCAGGTTTGTTGACATGATGTAACACACTGTGAAGCTGTAAACTCATGTTCTTTCATAATGAGTATTTTATCTTAAGTTTTTGCTTCTGGTAATAAAATATTAAGCAGGTGATCCTAAATCTTTTTAACAGAGTTTCAATAGTCCACGTATTTAATGCTTTAATTTATATGCTTTATACACAAATATTCAATCTTGTTAAGAAAATAAGTGTGCGGGGAGCGAGAGAAGGCCCCGTGGGCCACGAAGACCAACGGGAGAGGGCTTTAGATTGAAGGCACGTAGTGCTTGACCAAAATCCTTTAATCGGTGGTGTTGGCCCCATCCCCGGTATGTTAAATTTTTTATGTCGGAACCACAACATATACCAGAAGGACAATAATGACTTTGTCCAACATGATGACTTCATCATCATCTTGACACCCCATTGTAATATTGGGAGTTTTATTCAAATGAAAAATTTGAATGAATTCTCCACATGAAACATCTCATTGAGATATATGGTGCTTGCAATAAATTTCTTTGATTATATTGCCATACGCATTCCATTTCTATATATTCTTAGTTTAGATATATGATAAAAGTTGATGATACTGCATAAGTTGTGAACAAGCTAATCGTCCTAGACGCCGCAATATTGGTAGGTATTGCACGTTTCAAATATGCTAATCACAGCCCTTAAATAGCAAAATTCTGTTCTAGATGTAACATTGAAAGGCCTCGACTAGATTCTCTCACCTAAACATGTGAGACAGTGGCCATGTTTATTTTCGATTGGGAGTCAGAGCACTCACATACTGAGATTCCGATTTCAGAAAATAAAATATCAATGGCAAGATACACAGTTCAAAATTTCCAGTAGTAGACGTGCAAGTAATGTTGCAATGTGCACTTGGAGTTGTGGAGACACTGTGACAAACATGTGACATATCACAGAAATCCACTGAATTTTGAATGCCACCCACCACCAGTCATATCTGTTCTCTCGTGACGATAATACGTCAATATCTGACCATCTAATCAAACCAGTGGTGATCATGCAACGGAGTATGTTCGGTGGGGAGGACAAGTGGCCGAATCGAGGACTTTTAAGAAAGGGACACTTTATCTCCCTCGAGGATCTGCGACCGAGAGCTGAACACTGTTAGTGCGCGAGACGGGGACGAAAGATGTGCATGGAGCTGTCGTTTTCCGCGAGCGAGGGAGCCCCGTTCCGTCCGAGTCGAATGAACCATGTCTGCAAGGCAAATCATTGTTCTCGCTGGACGAGCAGACCGTTCGCGAATACGTTCGATGTCGAAAGCAAACGGAGAGTTACGGACGGACGGACGGAAGGAGGTCGTACAGTTCGACGCAGCCGGTCGGTCGACGGTTGCCATGCTCAGATCGATTTGACTCACTGAGCGAGTGCGCGGAGCGTGGCCCCGTGGCCAAGTCAACGTGCGCGAGGCGCTTGTACAGACGGAGTGACCGGATCGGAGCAGCTCCGGGCCAGCGGATGCAGGAGCGAGTGAGCAAAGCCGAGCAGCAGCTCGCAACTCCGCAGCCCACGGACGACGACGAGCACGAGCACGAGCACGAAGCCAGGACGCTCGATCACGACCCGGCGCCATCCGGAACAGGGACGAGCTCATCAGCAGCAGCGAGTGAATCGAGCCGAGCCGCTCCATGGCCCGAAGGCAGCTTCCTAACTCCCAGCAGTGTCAGTATGATGGAGAGCCCCGTCAGGGTCGTGAGTCGCAGCTCTAGCGCATCGACGAGCTCTCGATAGACCCAAAATCGTTCCCGAGAGCGAGAGCAAGAGCAAGAGAGAGATAGAGAGGAGAGGAGCTGGGGCGATCGAGGGCATGGGGAGCGAGTGAGGAGGAGGGGCCACATTGCGATCGACGGGAGGGCGAGGAGCAATGCGGCGGGCAACGGGCGGGGCGCGGCACGGGGCGTCGCGGCGAGTGGGCTACACGCAAGTATGCTTCTTTCTGATTCTGGGCATCGGATCGCTGCTCGTGTTCTCGTACCAATCGGAAATCTACGTGACGCTGGCGGGCAAGGACGTGTTCGCGGGCGGGCCGAAGCTCGCGCAGAGGCCGCTCCGGCGCACCTACAGGCCCGAGATCAAGGCCGAGAAGGAGCCCAGCCGATGGCGCCTGCAGACGCCGGTGGTGCCCGTTACGCCGCGCTCGGTCGAGGAGGGCGTCGTCACGCAGCGCAAGCTGGAGTCGAGCGAGCTCGCGCCCCCGCTGCCCTCCGTACGGCCGCGCGTCACCGGCCTCAGCGCTGCCAACGGCTCGAGTTCGAATGGGCCTCCGGCGCCGCCGGCGCGCATCAATAAGAACGACAAGAAGAAGGCCGTGGATTTGACGAACAAGGCGTACGTTCCGCTGGAGGAGAATGTGCATAGCAACCTCATCGGCACCGAGTTCCGGCTCGTCATCAAGCTCCTGGCCGTGAACAGCTACGGCGCTCTGCTCCGGTGCCTGAATTCGCTCAAGGAGACGGACTTCGCGGGCGATCCCGTCGACCTGCACATTTTCATCGACCATTTCATCATCGATGCCGCCGTCGAGTCCCAGAAGCGGCCGCGGAGCATCCGGCGCAGGCGTTTGCAGTCGACTGCTCGCGCCGAGCGCAATGTGTCGTCGTCGGCTATGGAGGAAGAGGAGGAGGAGGCGGAGGGCGTCGATGACGACGGCGGTGCTCTGGACAATGTCAGTGCGAAGGCGGATCGGGTCCTGAAGAAGAGGCCGAGGCGCAAAGTCAAGCGCTCTGCCACGCGCAAGCTGGGCATCGATGTGGCCGAAGTTCCCGAGGATCCCCGGGTTCCCGATAAAGTGGACAATTATCTGGAAGCTGTCAATCCGAACGACTGGGGCATTATCGAAAACAAATTGCGCGACCTGAGGAGAGTTTTAGGGCTTGCGGACCGATGGGAGTGGAAGTTTGGGCGCAAGGTGGTGCACTACCGGAGCCAAGCGGCCGGTTACCAGGAGCAGTGGATTGACTCGTGGTGGCCATCGTCGGACAATGAGTTCGCTCTTGTCGTGGAAGACGACATGGAACTGTCACCGCTCTTCTATCGCTACGTGCGTTCTATCATTTCCACATACTACTACCAGCCGGCGCATTACGATCCTTCGCTCTACGGGATCTCCCTCCAACGACCGTCGCTCGTGCCTGGTGAGGCTCTCTCTCCTCATCGCATCTTCTGATACCTTCCGATTCGCTTGTATCTGCAGAGCATCCTAAGAATGTGTGAATTAAGAAATCCTGGTCTCTGCACAAATCATGAGCGAGGTCAAGATGTAGCCTGAAGCCCACATAACTCTTCCATGCGCTGCAATTGCATTCCGACTGCGCCGAGTTTGCCCTGGGCCTGATCATGACCGTGCTCGAGCGAGACAGAAGATGTTCGGAGATATGTGGTATCTTCCTGTTTCCACATTTTGTATTAAAAAACAGATCGACTTGCTTTCAAGCCTGCTCGACGTCGTAGCAGTGGGGGGACTGGAGTTGCCGAAGGTCGTGGGATGCGAACCCACACTGCGCGAGTTTCGCAGACACTCCTCCCAATATTCAGTGTCATTTCTGTAGACGAGGCTCTGCCTCGGAATGGAATATATGCTGAACTCGTCCTTGCCGATGGGCTCCTACCGTAAGTTACTGAATTAGTAAGTTGCATTGATTTCTTGTCCCAAACCGATTATGGTTTGGGTTTCTGCCTATGATTCTAGTCTACCCTGCGGTTTCCTCGACCGAAGTTGGGCACTACACCGCTGTGTACTAGATCTTGGAAAAGCCAGATGCCGTAGCACTCAAATGTGAGCGATCATCCATTTCTTTACATGTGTAACCTCATATCCTCTGTCAGGAACCCTTCTGGAGGAAATATCAACCAGGGTTGTAACGCGGCAACAGATTCAAAAGTCCTGGGAACCGACTGCAAATGTTCGAGATCGTCGGTCTGGACATGGGAAGCACTTCGAATGTTAGGTCGTCCTTTTGAACATTTGATCCAGTATTCCAGGAATTCCTGGTACTGGTGGCCGGGTCACTTATCCTCTTACGTCTAGAAAACTTTCCGACCTCTGAACTCTGACGGTGTGTTTCTGTTGTTGTCCTTCACCAGGGAAGAATGGCCAGCCCATCAAGGTGGATGTCAGAACGCGTCTTTTTATGTACGAGATGGTCGGTATCTGGGGACAGGTTTTCTTCCCCAAGCCATGGAAAGAGTTTCGTACATGGTATGAAACTCACAAGAGCCACGATCAAAAGCCATTGCTGGAAGGTATGGTGACAACAGATTGGTATAGGGAGTACGGGGAAAAGATGTGGACACCATGGTTCGTCAAATTCGTGCATGCCCGAGGATACTTCAACATGTATACCAACTTCCTCAAAGATCGAGTCATGAGTGTCACTCACAGGAGTGAGAGCCCGAAGACGAAGAAGTACGCAGGATGTGACTCAGACTTGATCTGGAGCAACTCAACGTACGATGTAGACATCTTTCACATGGCGCCCATGAACACAATCAAACGATACGACTACTGCTTCAGGGAGGTAAAGGTGGGGAGATTCGCCAACAAGTCGACCGATATATCTCAAGTGCTGCGCACCGTCCACCAGAACAACGAGGTGTTGATGCTGAGCACTGTGAACGTAGCGGAGCCCCTTGTAAGAAACTGGGTCTGTTCGCTCAGAAAGCTCGGCATAGTCAACTACGTGTTCTTCGGAGACGATGGGGCCTTGCTGCAAGATCTGGCTAGAAGAGGGCATGCAACATTGCAATTTGAATTCAGCGAAAGACTGACAGAGGACGGCGAGAAGGAGGTTTACGCTGTTTTGACTGCGCTGAAGCTGGGATACGACGTTTGGTTCTCACGGGCGGATATGATGTGGGTAGGAAACCCCCTGTCTCTCACTGATGTGTCTGCAGCAGACATGGTTGGGTTAGCCAACCCGAAACTCAACATGTTCTATATCAGGAGCACGAACGAGACACTTGATGCTTGGAGCTCCTTCTACAAGCAGCTCGACGTAGCGGTTACGAAAGGTTCTAGACAGCTCAATTTCGAAAACGCCAGGGAGGCGTTCGTCCAAAAATGTGACGGTGAGGAGAAGTTAAGGTCACAGCCACTCGACAAACTGTTATTCCTGAGTGCGGAAAAACTGTCTGCGCTTCCTTCCGACGACGGTACAGTCCCAGATTCGCAGGTGCTTCTGTTCGGTGAAATGAGCGGGTGGACTCATCGTGATTTATCTAAAAGAGCCACTCTGCTGAACCTGTGGAATCTGGATGATGATTTGGTCTGCACCCGCGTGGTCTGCTGAAGAATATCGCGACAGCTAGTCGGCCTGCTCAATGCAAACGAGCAAGCTACACAAGCAACGATAGAACTCGCAGTTGTCCTGGTCCAAGCGTCGGAGATCATTAACGGACAGGTCCACTTCTCGACCGACGACTGTCCAGGACGAAGCGGGCCCTTTAGGATGGTTGACGGGAGATGGGCGCTTACAGCGGTGGGAAGCAGGAATATTTCGTCACTTTATAGATGTACATAATTCGATATGAAGTTGCCCAATCCGCACAAGCCTTTTGCCCTCCCACGTACGTGTCAACTCTATATTATTACTATGTTCGCCGACATTGCTCTTGGAGAGCATGGCCGGCGGCTATGCACTCTCGTACCTTAGCTCCACTGGAAGTTCTTTGGACTGGCAGAAGCAAAGGTCCTGCTCTGGGCCTTGTGGGTCGAACTCTAAAACGAAGAGCTCCTAGCAACACGTTTGCTGTACTTAGTCCAAATCCATGTACTGATCATCTCATGGACTAAAGTAGTGAGGAGACGGGAGTCTGATCCGTAGCACTGCCTCTTGACTATATTCATAAGAAGGGATCGTCAACGAGTGTCAAGATTACATAGATCACACTTTTAGATGGTTCTTGTTTCTGCCATTCCTGAAGTGTGGAGCGTTGAGGTTGTGTTCTACGTACGTCACATGAGAGTTTGTAGTCGAGACAAGCCCTTGTCTGCAGACGCCCAGAATTGTGACCCGGCTTGAAAAGCGGGCCAAGACAAGATGATGCGTCTCGACGGTTAGTTGATGTCATGGTTAACGAGGCAGCATTCGCTCTTTGCTTCCAGAAGCATGCCATGATTTAAATCAGGAATTGATTCATGTACTGCGGTGTCTTGACGGGCCAAATACTTTCAAGTTGGCCCTTGATGAATCTTGAGGTGTATTTACCGAAATATGGCTGAAGATGAGACCCGATCCGAACCAATGAGTATTGTTTGCAGTTATGTCTTTCAGTCAGATGGTAAAACGAGTGCTGGTAAAGGTGACTTGGGATTGCCCTTGCCTTGCATGATCTTGGCTGTCCTGGTGTGGGAGTCTTGTCTTTTGTCACGGGAACGATTGGCCCGGATACCCGAGGGAAAGTTTTGAACAACTGTAATATGGAAGTGAGGCTTGCTGTTCGAGTCAGATGTATACGCAAATGACCTTGATTCAGAAACCGGAGTGGAGTAGGAGGGACCAGCCTCAAACGTGCACTTGTGATTCTTGACGTCCTTGTGATGCCTCCACATGATCACCACGTGGTGGTGTCAAACTTTCAGCTTGTAGACTCTTCATCATCCACTGTGGCCTATATACACGAGTTCAGTACAGCAGTGGAATCACGCACGACTCAGGCAGTGGAAGTCATGTTTTCAGTCTACTCAGCTTTTGTGCTGTCGACCCAATCAACCTCATGGAGGACAGCGGTAAGGAATCTTCTGGAGCTTTGGTCACGTCACTGACACAGAGCAGAGAAGAACAGTTGGATGATAGTTGGATTACGACAAGTCGATGAACATGCAGTTAACCTCTCGAATTTACAGCTGAAAATATTACCACCATCTCTCGTCGACCACGCCCCTTGACTGTGACGACGACAAGGACCCTTGTCGTCACTGTGACGCGGTGGGACCAGGCAGTTTGAGAAACTGCGTAACGGTGGTTCCACGGTGGAGGTCACAACCTCTCACCTTCTCGTACACCGCTGTTTAAGTGTGACCAAGACCGGATATGGTAGGGCCTGGCAGTCTGACAAACTACGTACACTATCTCACTCGAGGGCAACGTACAACGGAAACCTCCAATGTCCTGACGAGTTTCCCTTCTAGTGCAACGTCAGCTCTCAACGTGGTGGATCGTCTCTTAGAAGTTATTCTAGATTAATTTGGAATACCAACGCATCCGTAGTAAGCGTAGACTACAACGTAGTATCCTGTGACATGATTGTTCTCTTCCGTATAAACTGATTATTATTATGCAGGAAGAGCTTTTCCCTTTTTTCAGATATAGCTAGTATGTGAAAACTTGATACTTCTTGTCCCATGATATGGTAAGCTTTTGTGCACTTTATCATGGAAAAAGCCAATTTTGGTGTCAACATTTCTATGTATAACTCTAATGATAGAAATAAGAATTGTCATTTTCACATGCCCGTAGATAAAATATCTTGGTTACTGCTGTCACATTTGTTGCTCATCCAGTAAATTTGATAATCATTACGGCTGTAATAATTGTCGGAATTCCAAATACAAATCTTCCTTAACCACCGTCAGAGACGGCAAAATTGTAATAACATCAATGATACCTATGCTCTTTCTTCTAAACAGACAAAGGTGAGTACAAATTGCATCTAAAATATTATCCCATTCACGATGCGTGAGGATAAGTAAAGCTATGATTAGCAGAAGGGAGCAAGGAATACACTGAGCTCTCCATGTAACTTTTATCTCAGCTACAAAACCACAACACTCTAATGATTACTATCAAATTGCTAAAAAAATTAAAAACAATCATCACATTACATTCAGGGTTTTCTATTTTTTAAATCCGTTCCGGCCTATCCCCTTACAAAAGAAACCAGAGGAAGAAATATTCAACCATGCATTTAACTGAAGGAAAATTGCTGATGTTGGACACCTCACTACTCATTCTAGATACCAATGGTAATACTATCTATGAACGAACAGAATTAAATATTTTCTGTCAATGTCTGGTAAAATATAGCTCTGAAATATATGAATAACTAAAACCACCCCTAAACTTTGTGAACCTTGTCATTTCTCACTTTCTCCTATCGTATTGATCAACTTGTTAAATGTCAGTAAGTCTTTTCCATCTCCCGTTAATTGTGCTATACATACTATACATATATACAAACCCGTACTTTCGCGCATACTCACAAAGCTTTTATTTTCAAGTTAAAGATATCAGGAGTCATTACGTATATCATTCATCTGTTAGTAAAGTTGCGCGTCTGTTTTTTTTGGCTGTGCTTGTATGTTAACAAGTCTTGTAATGTAGCTTGCTTCTAATGAATATGAGTCGAGGAGATCTCAAAACGAGGACGCGATGCATGAACGTCATAGATTCTAAACACCTTCTTTTTGCACACTGAGGTAAGAAAACGAAACGCGTGATTTCTACTGCAGACATCGCACATTATTTTATATCATCTCACCAGCCACTCTCCCGATGCATCCATCCGTCATACTCTCTACTTGGCCAGTACTCCGTTGCCAAAAGATAATGAATTGCCCCGCTGTCAGTGGGGGTATTCTATGTACGCAATCCGCACAAGCTTGACCGCTAATTGCATCGAGGACCGGGCACCGCAATTAAATAGACAACACCGTGGCGCACATTTTATGTTTGCCGACTAGAATGGCTAAGCAACAATCTAATCGTCCAAGCATCTAGTGCAGATAAAATACATCTAAACCGTTAATGACAATTTGCCAGATTTTGAGTTCTAGTCGCATTAATAATTATGAAAGATGAATGGTTTTGAAGAAGAATATGCCATGTACTTTCCTTTTCTTTATCAACATATTCTATTTCCAACCAACTAATGTTCATAATATACATCTAAAGCGTCCCTGTCTATTTACCAGATTTAGATCTCTGCTCACATCAGTATTATAACAGATGGCAAAACGATACTTGTAACCTCAAAATATGAAATCCGAAGTATTTTAATGTGTTCAAAGACATCACTCTACTGTGAGCGAGCAGCTTATTTCACAAGTAATAACGTCTAGCAGGAATCGTGCTCGTCGCTTTTATTGATTGCAGTCAAAGCTGTAAATGTCTTCTCATACAGCAAATCAAACTCGTGGGCGATTCTCAAGGGGACGCTTTAGAAATTAGAGCAAGGCGTGTGACTAAAGCTTCAATTTTAGGGGTTTCAAAACTCATTTGGAGGATCATGGCAGTAGCCTAAGAGTTTCTACAGGGAAACGATGAGAAGAAGACATCTACGCTTTGCTTGGACGTGCGTGATCTAATTTAGCACCGGGAGACCCTGGCAATCATATTTTAATTTGACAGCCAGGGCCCGTCGAGCGACCCTCGTCTGCAAAATTCAAGACATGCCTTAGCAAGGGGAAACTTTAGGGGAAGGGAAAGAAATTGCATAGCTTGACTCTAGACCCCAGAGCTGGCAGGAGAATGTCAACATATCTTACTTTGGTGAACTTTGTCTCAAAGGAAGGCACCATTGCTTGGATAACTTAATCAACTTAAGTTAAATAAACTTCATAACCTAGTAAGAATATTAAGAAACTTGATCCGGACAGCAAATACGCGCACCCAGCTGATATTGCTTAGTCCAATATAAGCAGGCCTCATAAAAATAATCAATCTATAAATAGATGACTTAAATAAATGATAAATTCCACTTTGAAAAATAACTAATTTTAGGAAATTTTTCCTTTGTAGCTTTTGACGATTTTTGTGAGCTACGGACTGCGTGGAGCCGTTCATGCAGTCTCCCTCTGGAATTCTTCCATTCTCTATGGCATCTGCTTCTTCCAAAAAGCAGAAGATTTCCGGTTCCATTACGATGCAGCATGAGCTACTATAACGCGTAAAACCTTTCGATCATGGTCCAGAAGGCGTTGTTTTAGGAGTTCGTTGCCGTTTCTGTGTTGCATTTGGTTGCTAGAAGAAAGTATCACCCTGGATTTTCAAGTCACCGTTTCGTCCACTGAATTATCGGAGTCATCTCGAGTCTCAGCATGCCCAGAAATGGTCTCAGTACCAATTACTTTCAGATGTTGAGAAAAAGGATTTCTTCAATCTCACTGTCAAGGCAGCAAAAATGATTACTTTTATTCGGACAGCCAATCATCATCTTCGACAAAGCTATTGTTGACATTATTATTGGAGGAATCCTTTGTATCTGGACGATGTTGATAGCGATCATTCCAAATTGAATGTCGTTTCTCTTTTTCGTCTCGACGAAGTCTCCGACAAGTACAAGATTGTAGTGAAGTAGGTGAAACAATACCAGCTAGCCACACTTATTATGGAAAGAGGGCTTTCGTTTTGTCGAGCAACATTTGCAATTCAATATGCAAAAATGATGAGTAGTTGTGTCCAGCTCGGCAATTGCAATAACTTGATCGTGGCGAACTACGTTCGCGACGTTTGTGCCGTTGCTTTCTAAGATAATTCGCAGTTGATCTATGAAGCCTAGGCTTTTGCAATTGCAGTTGACGAATCGGACTGTCAAAATACCTCTTACATTGACGTTCGCGTTCGGCTTTACTTTTGCGGCAAACTTCTGAATTACTATCTTATTGCAATTCCGTTTTCTGCAAGCCATAATGGTTCTACGATGTTCAACGTGATGCATCTACGATCAAAAAAATTATTGATTGATCAACTGAAATCGACTTGCCCGGCGCTCTCTGGAACCCGTTGGGTTTCGATGTCTCGTGTTTCACCTTATATTCTTGAACATCGAACTGAAATTTTGGAGCATTATCAAGAGCTTAGCTAAAAGCGAACCGTCGCCTTACTTTTGGATATATCTAGCTGCATTCAATGTTATTGCATCAATGAGACAGCTCAACTCATGCAGGGGAAACAAGCCTTTTAAGGGGAGCAGTCGTTCGAGATCGAAGAATCAAGCGAATCAACAAGTTGGCGTTCGTTGAGGAGGTGGTAGAGGTGGATACTTAGGCTGGTCTTGTTGAAGACGTAATTCAATTCAATGGCTTTAGCTATTTGAAATATGAACTCAACGGATTTGTGACCGACCAAGGCATGTTTGTCTTTCACTTCATGAGGGAATTACGGCCGGAAAAAATCGATAAGATTCTTAAAAACGTTGCTGAAATGTTCAACACTCTGATAGTTGGTCCGTAGGACGTCGGAGCTTAACGCGATGAATTCAATTGCGGCTCTGTGAACAAGACTATGCCCACACTTGCTCTGGAATTTGTAGAAATGCAACCAGAGAATCAATTTAACTCACTGAACAATAGCACCCTCGGATTCTGTCACCTGGAACGTCAAAAGATTTGAGTAGATTTGCTGAAATTACGGTGTGAGAAACAACCTCGATCAAGTCTATGTTATCTCGTTCCAAGTGACACTCAATCAACGTCAAACATCAAGTTTCAACGAAGCTTGGGGCATTGAATGCATCGCTTCTGAATATCCGGACCTTTGTTCATTCGCGGGCGGCCTTGCTTCAATATTTCCAAATCGCTTCTGAACATCCGGACCTTTGTTCATTCGCGGGCGGCCTTCTTCAATATTTCCAAATACCACCTTTGTTGAGTCCGATTTGTCCATTCTTAAATAAGAGAAGTACAATTTGCGTCATTCTTTTTCACTGGAAGGCATTCTCCGGTGCCGTCAGATGTTGCATCAAAAGTGAATACCCCTCCAAACTGACCTTATTTAGTTGAAACTCATGCTAGAATAAATGCACGTTTAAAGAGCAGCTCCACATTACACTCCTTCAGCAACTCCAACCAGCGACTTGGCATTCTCCACGTCAATCAATCTAATGATTCATTTTCCAACTTCCATCTAGTAAAAGTCATTCAAAAAGGACACCTTCACAACAAGCTGTTGTTGTAAAGATCAAGCACCACATTCAGAAATATACGGCAACATAGCTATGTAGAGCAGGTAAATTAGAAACAAAGACCAGCGTAGAAGACTGTCTCACATGCCAGTAAGAATATCCTGTTCAGCTAGGCAGCAGCTCTACCAAGCTCGGAGACTTATCCCACTCTCGAATATCTTTTACACACAGGCCGAATGATGTAAACTTCTCATAAGTAGTAGAGAATGTACTTTGAATATCGTGGGCAGATGTTTTATTATCAGTGCTAAGAAAGACACTCACAACGGGTGAGGTAGCATATGCATTTGAAGCCCAACCAAGATATTTTGTACTCACATACGTGTATTAGTTTTCAGCCTTTGTATGTTCTCTCGAGTCCGGAAGAATCCAGACATCAGACTCCAATCGTTGAATCTCATCTTCTTGCAACATCAATGTGACTACGGCAAGGACTCTCATTTGTGGTGAAGACTGCCATTTCAGCCAGTAGATAACTCGACGTGTAAAAATCACTCAAGGGCAACTCAAATTCTTGAAGTGCGTGCTCTGGAGAAATTCACAAGATGAGAACAACGGCAAGTGTGAAACTAGTGATCGGGACATCTCGCAGTGGATTCAACTGTGAATCTCATCGATGTATTAGACTGTACCTTTAACAAACACCAATTGTGAAGAGAAGTTGCACTATGGTGGTAACAACAAGTTGATTACCACCACCATGTGACAAACTGCCTTCAGAATGATCAAATAGCACTGCTTTTCCCTTTTGTCTTCCCTGGCAAACTTCCTGATGACACTCGGTGACAGAGATAAAGGACAAAGACTTGAATATCCATCTATTGCAATATTCAAGACTTTCCTCGAAAACACTGCAAAGCGAGATAAATGCGATCTAGAAATCGGATTTTGGTTGCAATCCTGCAAATATCTCTAGCTCATCTGACTCAAGGTCTGGAATCATCTAACTCCTGTCAGCCGGTATACTCTTCGGAATCACTATTCCGCGGTCAAGAAAACTTGAAGAATAATGGAGCTTTCTCCACACTCAGTAATCCTGGTTGTCTGTCAACCAGTTTACGAGCCACCTGTCTTCTTTTGCTGATACTGACAAGCAACAATTGGAACAGCTGTGCCAAGAGCCAAACCACCAAAAACAAGAAGCCCCATCTTCAGACTCTTCTGCTTCATATTGGGAAGATCGTACATGTGGGGGGCGTGGAGATAATCATTGCTGTACATCTCACCACTGGAGCCGCCTCCATGTCCTCCCATCCGAGCTCCAGACGAGTGAAAGCTTCGCTTACCTGGATCAAATTCATGCCTCTCAGATCCTCTATTGCTGCTCTCAAGCACACCAACGCTTTCAAAAAAAAAAAAAAAAGTGCTGAAAAATTCCGTATGTGAGCTTCCACTCACAAACTATTAGCTACCACTTCTCTCCCTTAATGGTTAGTTCAAAAGGGCCCAATTAAATGTATTCCTTGGACAGGCAGACGTGGGGCATGGTTGGCGAAAATTGACAAACAGCTGTCACATGAGATCTCAAAACTACTTCGCACCTCCAATTGAAACCACGCCACTCAAGAGAACTTCCAATCATCCGCGAAACAAGTCAAATTGAGATTGCACGCTCAAAACCGACTTCGGATCAAGGATGGAAACAAAGACTTCTGAAATCACCAGAATTACTCCAATGCTGCCAATCCAAGTATTTGATCTACAACACACTTAAATAGAACTAAACCGAATGAATACAAGAGGAATTCTACAATCCTCCAAAAACAACTTGGACATTCAGACGATGTGCTTCCTAAATTAGGCTGCGCAAGATGAGTAGAGAAGCGATATCCACCGACAGAAAATGACAACACGTCTGCCACAATTAATCCCATGTACAGACCTAATCATCAAGGAGGAAATCCGCCAATTCTTAATCAAGCTGCAACTAGATCAACATCCAGCAGGAAACACCACGGTGGACACCCAAAACCACTAGATCAGGCCATTCGCCATCTCGCGGATCCCGCCACACCAACCGAACGGCAATCCGATCCACAAAAGCTAACAGTCGAAGAATTGTGAGGAGACCAACCAGCAGCAGAAGGAACGATCGTCTTGGACATGGAGGCCACACGGCGCAGGGCAACGATAGTCGAGGAGGAAGCCATGATGATGTCTTCGGCTCGGTCCTTCAGGATCAGGATCAAGATCAGGAAGCTCGCTCGGACTGCGCGGATCTGGAATTTAGTGTGAGAGAGCCTCGATGCCCGCTCAGATACTCTTCTCTCTCCTTCCCTTGAGCCCTTGAGCCCTCGATCGATCGATTGACTTCGTCTGTCACCAAGACACCCCCTGCCACGTGGACGACTTTAGCCCTAAATGTGTTGGCGGTCTGTGAGGCCTCCCTCTAACTCCTACTTGCTCCTGCAACTAACCTCCAGTGCTGCTACAATTTCGAATGAATCATAACCTATGATTGATATTGTTATGATTCATAACATATGTATATTGATTGACCCTGCCCCCAAAAAATGAAATGCCAAAGAAAATATATCACATCAAAATCCCAGACCTAACGCTAGCCTCGTCGCAAGGAGCTGTTCGTCTGTGCCAATTTTCAATTCATTTTCCGGAAAAATGGTTAGAGAGTGTTTCGACAATTCTTGATCTCTTAAATGAGTATACACAAATTCGAAGAAGAGAGGCTTTACTGTTTTCAAGTGTGTACGACTTTGTCACAATAGGCATATTAAAAGACATATGGGCCATATGGCCCAAGTTGTTGCTATCACATTTAGTAGAATTCGCTCACATGACTTTAAATCATGCTTTAGACTTTCCGACGGGATGAGGATTTCTGTGATTTATGATCCCTCTTGTGGGCACTTGCTTACTGCCGCTATTCCTATTTTGAACTCAAAGTATAATTTTACAAAAACTGTTTATTACTATATATAATCAAGGTTTTCCTTATTCACCTCAAGATCAGTGCTTGATTACTTCATGGAAAATCATAAGATTCGAATTATATTTGAACTGGAAAGTTTGATAATAGTTGTTGGATTTTTACAAATTTAAGTGGATGTCAATCTTCAATAACAATTGTTCGTATGATATTTGGATTCTATGAAAAAGAAGGAAAAAATTACAACCGAAACTCTCAAAAAAGATAAAAAAAAATTAGATATATATTTATAACTTAGTGTGCATTGGAATTTTAGAATTTTCGAATGGTTTTAATCATTTTTTGACCTTGACAAAAAACCTATCTGTTGCTCCGGAGAAGATAGTACAAATTTATGTTTGGTTTGATACGATTGTTCGGATTGATTGACATTAATCTTTTACCTTTTTCCAACAATATGAATATGGAATATATTTCAGAGATGCGAACGATGCAATTTCAGTAAAAGTAAACGGAATAATTCCATTAACAAAACATAACTCTCTGTTTAAAGGAATACCGATCCCATATTTAGGAAGTACCATGAAAGTTTATCAAAGTGCCTATTCATTAAAGAATATAAATTAACTCGTGAAAATATACATTTGTTTTGTTGAAACACGCAAGAGTCATATCAGAGGAGAAACAATAGACAATAAGATATTCCGGAGACCCCTGAGGACACACATCCGTGGAAACCAACTTATGTTTCAACCTGTGTCATGTAATATTTACTGAATGGCTGGATGTTAGTGCGTGGAATCAGTCTTGGACTCAGATTATGCTGTCCAGCAGGTTCCAGCGAAAATTCGCTGCTACATGTGTTCACAAACCGGGTTTTAAAAGATGGAGAGATCCAAACTGCAATAGCCACAATTGAAGCGTTCTGTTAGGGTTTTCTTCTTCGTGCCCTTGGCTACTTGGTCATTTTGTGGGCTACCCATTTCTCACATTCTCGGGTGCGTTAGCTCGAAATGCTTCGTTTGGGTACGTATGTCGACAAGTCTTTCACATTCTCCCGCTCTGGAGGTCGATTGGTGATCTAGGACCCAGAAGGGGGTCTAGCATCGAGGAATCATGACTTCCAATACTTTCCCCCGTCGTATATATCTAGATCAGTGTACCCCATTTTGTAGGTGAGATGGAACGAAGGGATTCTCTGCCCTGGAAACTCTGTCAAATGCCATCGACTCTCCAACCGGGAAAAAATTTCAAGAAACCCGAGATCTTGGAACCGATAGAACAGAAGCACATCGTCGCTGTTATGATCGAGTCAAACTATTTGCTGTACGCCCCAGGAAGCAAGACTGACATCACGAAGTGAACCACAGCATCCAACACGAAATCCCTCAAATCTTAACTACGAGCTTCTAAATTGGGCTCATTTGATAGTCATCGCGGTTTCCTATGACGACATCGATCAACATGCTCGGATCAACGCCACCCTAATCGACCTCCTCTCAATTCTACCACTCCAAAAATGAGTCCCGGATGAGCCTCGCGTGCCCACGAAACATTCAAGCACCTGCAAGGTCCACCCGCAGCCCATTCGCAGTCTCGCCCTCACCATCTCCCTCACCATGTCACCAATTTCCAGCCTGTGCTCAAAGCCTTCACCACCAAATGTCTCGCTCTCGTCATCTGTCTGCCCGCTGCCCGCTCCCCGCTCTAATAGGGTCTAATAGGAAGGAATGGGCTAACCACGGTTCCAGCCAGCCGGAACCAGACTCTGACCACGGGTCATTTCTAGGTTACTTCCGGGCGGGATGAGGTCGGGGGTTTTCGGGACTTTTCGGGCCAATTCGGGCCCCGCCGTGACTGGGGACGGTGGAGGGAGGAACTAAACTGGAGGAAGGCGTGGGGGCGAACGGAAACGGGTATAGAAGGAGCGCTAATAGAAGCATCGGCAGAGGCAACGTTGTACATCCGACGGGGTCTTGCGAAACCCTAAAGTGCAGCAAACTTGCCACTTCTGATAAAGCCCTATTCGACTTCTGCGTAACCCTCTTTCTCGTGAGCGCAAGCAGGTCGGAGCAGCGCAGCGCCATGAGTCACCGAAAGTTTGAGCATCCTCGACATGGATCCTTGGGGTTTTTACCCCGCAAGCGTGCCAGACGTCATAGAGGAAAGGGTGAGAATGTCGTACCTGTGAATTTCGCGGTGTATGCATCCATCGGTGCCTCTTTTCGCCGTGCTAGGAGTCCATGTTGCCTAATTTCTGATGCTTTTCATTGCTGCGTGGTCCCTGGACTTGTGAATGTTTCCTAAACGCAAACGTGACCTCTGTCTGGTCGTCGGCGGCAAGGGTTCCGAGGCCGGTCTAGCATGAATCTGTCGCCTTCTTTGGATTTTGTGGTCTTTATTGAATATGTGTGCCTTCGCTTGCAGTGAAATCCTTCCCCAAGGATGACCCGAAGAAGACTCCTCGCCTTACCGCCTTCCTTGGATACAAGGCGGGTATGACTCACATCGTTCGCGAGGTCGAGAAGCCCGGATCCAGTAAGTACTTTTGTTTCTTCTCTTCAGCCCGCATTGAAGTACAACTCTTTAATTGTCGAAATTCTTCTCCCAGTAGAGCTAACCTAGATTCTCTCCACAGAGTTGCACAAGAAGGAAACTTGCGAGGCCGTGACTATCGTCGAGACCCCACCTATGATCATTGTTGGTCTTGTTGGTTACGTCAAGACTCCTCGCGGTCTGCGCTCTTTGAACACCGTCTGGGCACAGCATCTGAGCGATGAGGTGAGGAGACGGTTCTACAGGAGCTGGGCCAAGTCCCGCAAAAAAGCTTTCGTTAAGTACGCTAAGAAGTTCGGTACCGATGAGGGCAAGAAGGACATCCAATCCGAGCTGGAGAGGATGAAGAAGTACGCCAGCGTCATCCGTGTTCTCGCCCACACTCAGGTATGCATTTGAATTGTTGAGCTTACGATTGACAGTTCTCATTTCACTCTCTCAATACTCCGTCTTTGTCTTTCTGCGATTAATTTTTATCCTTCTACAGGTGCGCAAGCTCAAGGGTATCAAGCAAAAGAAGGCTCACCTCATGGAGATCCAGGTCAACGGTGGTTCCATCGCCGAGAAGGTCGATTACGGTTACGGATTCTTTGAGAAGTCCGTCCCAGTGGACGCTGTCTTTTCCAAGGATGAGATGATCGACATCATCGGAGTCACCCGAGGTCACGGATACGAGGGTGTCGTCACCAGATGGGGAGTCACTAGACTTCCAAGGAAGACTCACAGGGGTCTCCGAAAGGTTGCCTGTATTGGAGCTTGGCATCCGGCCCGTGTCTCCTTCACCGTAGCTAGAGCTGGACAGAATGGTTATCACCACAGGACGGAAATGAACAAGAAGGTGTACAAGATCGGTAAGGCCGGTGAAGGTTCCCACAAGGCTTGCACTGATTACGATACCTCTGAGAAGGACATCACTCCCATGGGAGGGTTCGCCCACTACGGTATTGTCAACGAAGACTACTTGATGATCAAGGGTTGCGTCGTCGGTCCTAAGAAGAGAGTTGTGACTCTGAGGCAGTCGCTCTGGAAGCAAGTTTCAAGAAGCGCTTTGGAGGAGATCAAGCTGAAGTTTATCGATACTTCTTCGAAGTTCGGACACGGTCGTTTCCAGACTAAGGAAGAGAAGGCCAAGGTTTACGGTAGAGTGAAGGTCTAAAGTAGCTAATACCGAGGAATGTTTGGTTCGTGGAGGTGTCGGGCTAAGGATATCCACATCGCGGGCTACGGTCGATGGTCAGTGTCTCTTCGGAAGGACCGAGGAGTTGAATGCACCTCTATCTGTGCACCGCTGCCACGACTGGCCTCCTATTTGTTTTGCACAACCATTGCCATCCGAGTAAAATCGCCACTCATGTGGATTTTTCGCACGCTTTTTCCAAGTATGCGATGATGTGGTTGTGGTGGTCAATGTGATGAATAGACAATATAATTCGTCCAGGTTCTGAATTCTTGCCGTCGCAGTGTACGTGGGGAATGAGAGTTAGTTGTACGTTTGTCTCAGACTTCTGATCGTGTCGTCTCGAGGGACACAAGGTAGAGTCAGGTAGTCTGGCCTCTAAACGAATGTAGATTTTTCAGTTTTGACTGAACGAGGAGTATAGGTTAGAGCTATGTCTCAAAATGGACGTTGCCTGTGTACTGTTGAGGATTAATATATTTCTCTCTACTGACTGGCAAAGGGGAATGAATTGTTTGCACCTCGTGCCTCAAATCTGTTGATTGAAAACCAAAGTTATCTTTGTAGTTTGTCACTGCTTGACCGGAACAGAATAATGGTGGATGATGAATGACCTGAGAAAAATGAAAATAGCTGATCATTGAAGATTCTCTGACGATGAAGTGGAAAATCCGTGAAATGTTTGCACTTTAATATACAACATATGTAGTTGCGAAGGAGAAGTGTACTTTTTTAAACTGTAAGAAATGTGCACAATAATTATGGTTGACGAAAAATAATGAACGAACTTTCGTTTCTCTACTTAGAGCATTTAACTTATGCTCTAAGTACACACTTGTATAGAAATTGGTTCACAACGAACCCGTCAAAGTTTAAAAATCTAAAATGTGAAGGAATCGGAAAAATTCTTAAATTGTAAGAGAAAAAAATGAAAAAAAAAATTTATCAAACTACTGAGAAAAAAGATGAATGAAAATGTTAAAGTAGCAAATGAAAATAATAATTCTTAACAGTATAACCACTTAGATAGTGAAACATATGTAACATGAATGTATATACCTTTATACTATCTAAAAGGTTAATCTGTTCATCTAACAATTTCACAGTGACAAACTGCGGAAATTTCGTACATGACTCATCTCGAAAACTTTGCATGTACAAATTCATAAAAAAGTAATAAAGTTGTTACATCTCAAAATAATGCGACGAAAAGGGCACTCAGAGGAACAGGACGCACAATTTGTAAGAGAATGGATGATGTAGCACGGCGGAAACCACAACCTGACTGTCGCAGTGATGAACTTCAAGGTAAAGGAAAAGTTAACACTGCGTAACAGTTATAAAAAGATATGTGTCTATTAGCACCTTCCCCAAGCTACACCAATGTGGTTTTTTTTACGTCCGTCAGATCCTGTCCATGTTGATCAGGAACATACAGTGTGCTTAGCAAGTTTTGGAAGATTTGGCAAACAACCAACTCACGTTTAGCATCCAAAATTACATCTCATCCTGCGGTAAAAGGAATCTGTGAGCAGGACATCAACCTTAGTTAGAACATATGTTCTACAATCAATCAAAATACTCTTTTGCTTCTCACCTTCCTTCTCCAACCAGTAATCCAAAAATTTTGATGCGCATTACGCCATCAAATTTACTTTCCAAGATGCTAGTAAGGCTTCACTACCATTTCACATGAAAGTCCTGATGATAAAGCGGGCTGAATAGCGACTTTCCGGTTTGGTCCCTTCCTAATACTATGTTTTGCAGTTCAATTCTATCCTGTAATTATGATACACCCTACTGAAGATCCCCAATCAAAGTTTAGAGCCACGGAGTCCAAACATCTGAGGCTAACCTCCGACTAGTCTATATTACACGGTTCTACCATCAATGTTCCTGCTCGAACTGAAGCCGAGGAGCAATTACTGCCGATATATAGGTCTTCCGACCTATTGCAATTATCTGAACTTGCAAAACCAGACGTCTTCTCATCCGTAACCAAACATTGGCATTACAAATTGACAATGGGTCATGAAGGTATGCACATGCCAAATAGCAGCAAGATGCATACTACGATCTGAAAGAAGACAATTTTAACAAAGCTTCCTGCTGTATACACCAAATAAAGATGGCGTCATCATGGTTTATCTCCTCCAAACATGCCGGCAAATTCCTTTGAGTTCATTTGCTTCATCAATGCTTGTAAACCTCCTACACCACCTATCTGTTTCAACATTTGTGGTGGAAGCACTTTGCTCATGTGTTGAGCGTTCATATTCCTAGACATTGCACTCATATCACCCTTTTTGGGTATTTTCAACCCCTTCATCTTACTCCAAATCTTCGCAAGCCTCTTGAACTCCTCCAACATTTCCTTGACCTCCATAATACTTCGACCAGACCCGCGGGCTACTCTGTTGATTCTCGATGTCTCGGTTATTAGCTTCGGATTTGTGCTGTCAAGCTCTGTGGACAACGGCAATAACCAACAATGCATTAGGTATACATCATCTCCTGATGGAGCCTTCATGTAAACTCCGAGCATTTCAAAAGTATGTCCAACGTGTGGCCAAGCGATCGTTTGAAGTCTTCATAGGACTGAAGGTCACCAACTTTCATAAGACAGCTTTCCTCGATACAGCACTGTATGCTCAGAAAGCTCCTGAAGGCAGATGTGATGAGATTCTAACCGTTACCTTTATCAGTCATCGAATCCATCATGGTCATAAACTTCTTGATTTTGGCTTGACTCTCTTTCTCACGACCTTGAGGCATTAGTTCCGAGCTGAATCCTGGAATCATGGACATAACCTGGATAGAGAGAACGCGACGATGTTAAAACTGGTTGTTTTCAGGTTGAGCGCAAAAATACCATGCGTATAAAATGAATCAGGATGACTTAGAAAATTCACATCCACGTGAAATTTATGATGCTGATGTGCCCAATTTTCATCCAAGTATCTTACCTGGCTAAGGGGTCCCATGTTTTGAATATTCTGAAATTGTTCATACATGATTCGGAGAGTGAAGTTGCCTTCGGTTAACTTTTGCAGCAGTTCCGGCTGCTGGTCCATGGGAACAACTTCATGAATTTTGTCAACGAAGCCGGACCAATCTCCCCTACCTGAAGAATAGCCACAGACGACAGTGTAAGAAAACGCCGAGATGCTTTACAGACAACCAAATAAAACTATATAGGAGCAAGCAAGAAGAGAGACACTCACCCAACAAACGACTGACAAAAGGCTTAGTCTCAAAAACTTCGAACTCATCCATGTGTTCTCCTGTTCCTATAAATATGACTGGACTTTTTGTTGCCGCGACACTGCACAGGGACACATGAGTGTGAGATGGAGAAATACTCGTAGCACTTGCAATTCTCCTACACAGATGTCTTTAACGCAATTTTACAATCACCCTTTGAGAATGCCCACTTACGCGCTCAATGCACCACCTCCCTTCGCATGACCGTCCATCTTCGTAATAATGACAGCCCCCACGGCAGCACTTTGCTTGAAAGCTTGTGCCTGATCAAAAGCAGCCTGCCCAATACTGCTGTCCATCACAAATATTACAAGATCTGGTTGCTGCACATGACAGGAACAACGGAAGATGTTTAGGTTGAGGATTCATGCATATATCTCCTAAACCTATGTGGAACTACTGGTGGATGAAACGAGTCGTCTGTGAAGCGCATTGTTTACAATCGATCATATGAAGCATATGAAAACCGTGTGGTCTCGCACATGTTTAGGCAACCATGAGCATTGCAACAAGTTGCGTACAACTAACAATCATTCTTTCCAGAACTTGAGAGATAAACTGTGAAACTCACTGTCACTTCAGCAACTTGACGCATCTCCTCAAATAGTGCTGCTTCTTGCTTGTGCCGACCACTAGTATCTACAATAATAAGATCACAATTTTCCTTCTTGAACGTATCTACTCCTTCTTGGGCGATTTTTACTGGGTCGGTTTCTGTGTAGCTGCAAGGAACATAGTAATTTGTTGGTCACACCAAACGCATTGCATTGGGCAAACGAAGCACGATTTCATACTGCATGAGCATAAATCCTAAACTATATAAAACACCCACCTTCCATAGAAAGGAATTTTGGCTTTTGTGGCGTTTTGCTTGAGTTGATCAAAAGCTCCTGCCCTGAAAGTATCAGCACATACCAAAGCTGGCTTCCAGCCTTTCTTTTGATAGTGATAGGCATACTTTGTACAAGTGGTCGTTTTACCAGAACCTGCCATTTATGAACAGAATTAAATCTCAAACAGAAAAGCCCTGTAATGCTAAATCCTGCAGTATGCTTCGAACGGGATTCTAAGGAATAAGAAAGAAGAGAAACCTTGAAAAGTATAACAAAGGATGAAAGAGATAAAACAATACCCTGGAGTCCGACGAACATGATCACATTGGGCTTGCCCTTCTTCGGAGTAAAGGCTGGCTTCCCCGGGTCTAGCATGGCGCACAGCTCATTGAATACAGCCTGGTGTACAAATTGCAAGGTAATTGTGCAGGTCACATAATATGGCTTGGACAAAACCAGTCGTCATCCTTTTCCAGAAAAGACGTGCTAAACATCATGTTAGGAAACACACCTCTTGAATGATTCGCCTCTTGTTGTGTCCAGCGGCCAGCTCCTCAAGATTCACAATTTTCTTGATATTAGCTTGCATGTTCTGCACCATCTTGAATTGAACATCTGCCGAGAACAGAGCTCGTGAAATCTCATTCAGACACTCCTTCAAAACATCCTCATCTATTACTGTCGCATTGCTCATTTGCTGTAGGGCGCGTGAAATGCGCCCTCCCAGCTCCGCGAGCACCATTTTGCCCGACTTTCTTTACCGTCTTCAATTCCTTCTGTAACACAATTCAAAAAAGAAATCAGATCAGTCTCATATATGTCCTAGGTCTCGATCGATAGTATGCAAATGGAAACCGTGGACCTACTCTCCCAGTCGAATGGTCATGAACTGATACCCCAGAAAAGGCATTCGAGCCGAAGATAATCTGACACGGTTTTTTCCAGACTAAGGAAGAGAAGGCCAAGGTTTACGGTAGAGTGAAGGTCTAAAGTAGCTAATACCGAGGAATGTTTGGTTCGTGGAGGTGTCGGGCTATGGATATCCACATCGCGGGCTACGGTCGATGGTCAGTGTCTCTTCGGAAGGACCGAGGAGTTGAATGCACCTCTATCTGTGCACCGCTGCCACGACTGGCCTCCTATTTGTTTTGCACAACCATTGCCATCCGAGTAAAATCGCCACTCATGTGGATTTTTCGCAAGCTTATTCCAAGTATGCGATGATGTGGTTGTGGTGGTCGATGTGATGAATAGACAATATACTTCGTCCAGGTTCTGAATTCTTGCCGTCGCAGTGTACGTGGGGAATGAGAGTTAGTTGTACGTTTGTCTCAGACTTCTGATCGTGTCGTCTCGAGGGACACACGGTAGAGTCAGGTAGTCTGGCGGCTCAACGAAAGTAGACTTTTCAGTTTTGACTGAACTAGGAGTACGGGATAGAGCTGTGTCTCCTCGTATAGGATGTAACACGGAGGAAAACACAGCTTCACTGTCGCAGTGATGAACTTAAAGGTAAGGTAAGAGTCAATTCTGTGGAAGTGACAGCTATAAAGAGATCCATATTTATTAGCACCTTCCCCAAGCTTCACAGATATGGTTGTTTAACGTACATATACCCTGTCTATGTTAATCAGGAACATACAGTGTGATTTTCGCACACTTTTTCCAAGTATGCGATGATGTGATTGTGGTGGTCATTTGAAATATATGAGACCCTGTTGTTACTGGCCAAACTGCCCAAATTACCTCCGCGGGAACAGAGAGACGAGAGTGCGTATGGAACCTTGCAAGAAATCAAGCAACAATATACTCCAAGGTATATCTGGAAAATCCAAGGTACTCTTAAAAACTCAATGTGCTGTTCCGGCTGCAAGAAATTCAAGCTCGATCGAAGGATACAGAGTAAAAAACTCAGCAACACACGGGAGAAATTAAAAGTTATGGTCAATGCACCGGTGTGAAGCAAGAAAAATTCGGAAAGAAGCCACGAACGCGTTGGAAATTACAGCGTCAAACTGCTCCCCGCCCTACACAACCTCGATACGCCACTCCACTGTACACTGGCGATTAGGTTACCACCCTCGATGCCAGGAGCTGGGTTGAGCCTTCAAGAGAATGCACTTTGACGAAGCTGGCCTTCCTCTCAAGGTGAACTGAGATCTCTCTCACGAAGACCTGTGGATTACTGCCCTATACAATTCGAGCGCCAGCTCTAACACCTCATCCCACAATCAAAGAAGCCCTCGAGCACGACCTAATCGATCGAAACAAACAATTTTGCACAAACCGGTCGCAATTACGATCTCCAGCCAGAAACAAAAATACGTGAAACCTCTGCCAATTTAAAACATATCTTAAGCTTCCTGATCTCGAAAACCTAACATCACTTCTGCCTACGCTCGACAAGAAAATTGCGAAAAAAACCCGTCAACTCTAACGATCGCGACCTAAGGCAGCCGTATGAGGAAGAAAGAGGGGGGAGTTAAGACGCGGATAAGGAGGAGAGGGACCAAATAATGGATTAGAAAAGTTAGTAAAGCAGGCTGTAGGAGGAAAAAAACGACGGAAGCTCTCTACGTCCCTGCTGTTCTGTTCCTCGTTGCCTCTTTTGCATACGCAGGAGTGTGACATTCCCCTGCAGAGTGGCACTCTTCATGGATGTTCTTCCATTGATGCGGCCTACTGCCTCCCTCCCCACCCTGGTTTCAAAATTTTCGAGCTTCCTTCCACCCGTGAGTTACGGAGCGATCGAGTGCATACGTCGTGCGTGCACACTCTTCATTCGCCTCGATTGAAAGAAAACCCGAAACCAATTGCACACAATGTCAAAAATGAACGCGCCTAATCACTTCGATACGCACCAGATTCCAGAAGAACACAAACTCAATCCTCAAGAGCGCTACGAGAAGCCTGACGCCAGATTACTCTCCGCCGGCAAGAGCTCCGAATTATCACAGACGTCAAATCAGCCCAAATTTGTCAACCTCGGGGTTGGCTTTCTAAAACGCGATCGATGTCCAATTCCGAACACGGAATCTTGAACCGGATTGACTCGCCCGCCGATTCACTTATGTCCTACAAATGTCATCTTGGAAGGACGGACGGGCCATCGCTCTTCGAACTCGTTTCTCTATTCAGTCAACAGGTGTCGGACTACTGCTGAGGGGTAAAGAGCCAAATAGGATGGGCAGACCCCGTAAGCCCTGCGTGTAATGATCCAAAATAGTAAATTGGCTTACTTTCCCATAGCATTACTATGCAAGATTATTTTTATGGTCAATACAAATATTGTACCTTGTAGTCCATCCTAGTGTCATATGTCCGTGTCTAATGATAACTACATCGGATGAACATAAAAACATAGCTGTCTACCAGATTTGATCATTTCCCGTTTACAGTGAACTGCAGTTGAGAGGTTTGATTGGAGAAATCCAGTGCCCTGTTGTAAGATTGTCGCTTGAGTGTGAGATCGAGTATCGCTTCCTTCTTTACATGTCTTCATGTTACTCAGTTGTTTCTAATGCGATCGGTATTATATACACTTCAGTTTTGGAATCAACAGTCGTAGACTTGCAACCTGGCTTGTTTGGATTCTATAGAGTGCTCCCCGGTCATCAGTTCTCAACAGCCTAGATTGTAAATTATCTGGTAGGTAATATTAGGCAGGTGACTGTCTGTCACAGATGGAGTTTTCTCCGCATAGGTGCTATATACCATCTTTTTGTGTTTCCACTCTAAAGTTCCATGTGTTTATCCGGTCAAGCTTTGAAATTCCGGTGTACCAGTTTTTTCTAGTTTCGCAGCCCCCTTCAGGTTTCTTTCTGAATTGTGAGAGGTAGTACGAAGTGTAGTGTACACATGGTGACTGCTTGTACGTTGAGAAGTCGATATGCAACTCCGAGTTTAGTCACGATTGTACAAGCAAGTCGATAGAGCAAATCAAAATTATAAGTTCGTTACATTTCGATCCGCAACTTCCAACTAGCAAACCCAGCCTGGACTTTCACGGAAGGCAACGAACATACTTCACAGACGTCGTGCACGTCTGTGAAGTAGGTGCACTTCCCCTCTCATACCTTCAGTACAATGTTATCTCCCAGAGTACCTTCGATTTACTAGAGCTTACCTTTCGTTTCCAAGTGAGCTACTGAAATACAAACTTGCAGATATGAATTATAGCTTGCTTATGCGGTGAATACGAAAATAAGACAAGATGATACTCAGACTCAATACGACAGGCGAAATAATCTGGAAGAGACATTGTTCTTTTCATCCTCTCAAAATATAATTGCATCCGGGCATGAGTCTGGGAAAAGTAGTAGCAGGTTCGGACACCACTACCGACCAGATATCAGCCTTGCTTGATCTGAACTACATATGTATCTTAACGTTCCGCCAGCTACTACAAAAAGAAGGAGCTTTGCACAAAGGACATATATTCAGTCCACAACTTCAAGTCACAATATCCCAACCTACTTCGGATAGCATCACTCTAACAAATGCACGTGGAGAAGGGCTGGGTGGTAACGAACGATATTAAGCGAAAAGAAATCTCTTTATGTAAAAATTGTGCAGCATTAATTAATGCTTATTCTCTTTGTATTGTGACCTTCCTCTGCCATACGAAAGGAGTCGCAGAGAAAACATTCACAACTTCCAGGTCAAAAATCACAACGCACCATATCTCGGACGGGCAGAGCATTTGAACTGTTTCTCTGTTTCTCTTTCAAGGCTTGAGGGCCAGAGCCAAACCAATCTTCGCGCTCTTGTCAAGAGCCTTGGTATCAACCTCACCAGAAATAGTGACCAACGACTTCGGCCTCCACTCGTGCTGAAGAAGGGCAGCCATCTTACCATGGTTGTTCAACCGTCCTTTCAGAGTAGTCAAAGGGTCCAATTCGTACAAACCACCAACGGTGAATGTGTTCTCATTCTTCGAGAACTTGTGAGCGATCTCAGCAGCTACTTGCGTCCGTGAAGCGGGGTTGATCAGGTGTAGGTACGAGGCTTTCACAGTGTCACCCTTGTCGATCCTGCAGAAGTCGTGTTAAAAAAACATTAGACATCAAAAATCCGAGAGATCAGACTAATAGTCAAAACTTCGAAGCCGACATATGAGGCATGCATCCATGTCAAAAACACATCCTACCGCCTACATGCGCAGCAAATCAGGCTACGTTGGTGATGAGGAACATACAGAGTGACTGCAGTGCTGAAGTCCGGCTTCGTGAAACCGACACCGGCGTTGTACTTGGTAAGCCGACCTGTTGCTGTGTCGTAGCCTACCTCTCCACCAACGACAAGTCCTTCACTTCCAATGGCAGCGGTGACATCTACGTGGGGGTTTGGCGTTAAGCCAATGCTGCTGGTGATACCGACATGATCATGGGAGTATTGTACCTCAACCTGGAAGGAAAGACGGTCATGATTTGTTCAGTGAAAGATACCCTGTGTTCCTGGGGAGCTATGTACAACATTGAAATCCACAAAGTGCTAATTTTGAAGACGTTTTCAAACACATCTCTCTGAGATGGCCAGTCTATCCAGAAATCAAACTGCCACATCTACAAGACATTAAATCTTGAACTAAACAAACAGGCAGTATCCTTACGAAGCATAGAACACAGGGAGCAGGACACAAGGTCTAATGTACAACATAAGGTACCTTTCCAGACTTGTGATCGGGAATAGTGAAGCTGAAAATCGACTTGGCACCAGCGGTGAATTCGTCGACAGTCACAGTCGCCAAAATCTGGAAGAAAGAGAGTCAACCACTCAGCACCTCATAAAGAGAATGTAGCTTTGCAAACGATATGCACTCACAGATCATCCACAGTACGCATATCTCTGCACAAGTAATGATAGTGGATGAGGTTCACGGTGATGCAGATGTTTGCAACACTGTGAACTTGGTCAATTGTATGAATTTCAAAAAACCTACATTCGACTTGGTGTCAACTTTGACATCAGCAGTGATGTTGTTCCTCTTGAAGTTGGTGCTGATATCCGCGGCAAATACTTCACCCTTTTTGACTCCGGTGGTCACGAAGTTCTGACATACACAAAAAAAACGATCAGAATTCACTACATGATCTAGATCCACGAGGAAGGGACAGAATATCAAACAGACCGCTACAACGACCTTGAAAATTATGAGGCTAGAACTGCCATCTAAAAGACTCTGTAAACTGGGAACAGGCAAGAGGCGGAATAAAACTCTTAGTGAAACGTAAACAGCCTACGATAACGCGATAGAGAGCAATGACTCCTACCAATCCAGCCGAGGTAGCTGTGTTGACCGTAAACTTTTGGTCATAAGTGTAGTCCTTCGTCAGAAGGTCTGCAGGAAATGAAGATTAACTGCGTAAGGAGTCTATTTAAATTGGAAGTTTTGAGGGTCCTGTTATTTTCATCGCCTTCCCACATGATTTGTGGCAGTATTGAGCAGTATTGTTTAACTCCATTCCAGAGTAAGTTACTTGCATCCCGCCTCGAACTTTTCTTGCAAAACTAAGTAACTTACGGATGTCATTCCGTATCTAAGAAATGAACCACCTACGAGATATTAAAAGCTACTCTCTCAGTGAACAATCACACAGCGTAATATCCTAGGAAATTTAACCAGGCAATACGGAGGATGAATTCGAACAGCCCAGGTTACAAGCCTTCAACATTTGTTTCAAAGAGTCAGCTAGCATCTTCCTCCTTACGACGATTAAAAATATAGTTTCTTCCCACTAACGAGCGGATGCAAACTTCCTGAGATGGGGCAGAAAAGAGAGGTGAGTGTAGCGTGATACATACCCTTGGTTTTCTTCCCAATCTCCGAGTAGAATCCTGGTCCCTTGCCCATGGTGGAGATCCACAAGCTCTAGACCTGAAACTCAAATTTTAGACCTCGGTGCCCTGCGACAACAATAATCACCACTTCAGCGAAAAGTCGGTCATTCGACACTGCCAAGACACTGCCATACAAAAACAAATGAAACTACAGCCACTCACAGACAGAACTAAGAATCTCATTCGGAAATCGAACAAAGAAAGAACAGTGTGCTCTAGCAGAATGAAGACACAACGAAAAGTGGCGACGAACGAAGTCCAGGTTCTAGAGGCAACCTGACTCTACAGAAATCAACGTGTAGTTCGCACAGAAGAATGGGCGAAGATACACCAAAATAATGATGGGACAATCAGACAACCAGATACAGGGACACCACAAGAACGAGTTACGATTACAAGTGGCATATGAAGCTCCAGATTCTTGTGGAGCTAAGGACATCCCTTCAAAGGTACAGAGAGAAAGAGAGAATATTCTTAAAACAGAAGGGCCAAATAGAAAGCCGGATCCGGACTGCTGGGTGAAAGTTGAGGGAAACTTGCCCGTGAGTACCTTCACCTAACCTCAGATCGTCGCTCTGATTAACTAAGACAGACGGACCGGAGACACTGCGAAACAAATCGGCACTACGTATGTTGGAAGAGTGGGAGATTTGTAGAGGGAGTGATGAAGTCTAGGCCGCAGGAGGGTCGATCGGCAGTTAACCCGCGGCTCAAGACAGCAAAATTTCACAGTAAAAGCCGAAGGCCGTCTTATCTTTCTGCAGAGAGGATGGACATATAAATTTGGAAACGAAATGTTCAATGCCGGAGAAGAGAGCGGACAACGGTAGCTCAGATGTCAAGAAGATGAAACCTAAGTTATAAGTAGAGTTTAGGATTATCGAGCCAAAGGTCGAGATCGCTAGAACTTTAGGATTCGATTCAGAGCACTCAAGGGGACCATTAGATGCTCTGAAAATCCGGCCAGATCTCCACACCGGTAAGCTGGATCTACAAAACACTTGTACTGGAAGATGAAAGATATCGATCAAACTGATCAAAGAAGAACGGCTAAGCCAGCTGCAGTACTGCATCCCTTGCACCCGGCTAACGCAAACGAACTTCCAAGACGTAACTCAGATGGCGGGAAGGACACATCTGGCAGCCAGGAAAGGTCGGGGGAAATTTGGGGAGAAGTAAGCAGCCAAAACTCCACAAACACCGCGAACTGGGATTTCAGATGTCACCCACCGTGGCCAAGCCTCGTTCTGCAAAGATTTTTCCCAGCGACCGAAATTTCACAACCGAACGACCACCTGTCTGGGGGCCGAGACGTCAATATGCCGAGGACGGAAGAAGAGGGGGGGAGGGAGAGGGAGAGGGACCCAAAAGGCGACGAGCAAGAAAAACCCGATGGCAGGCACAAAAGATCGGCGCCCGCAAAGAAAGAAGAGAATGGCACGACGTAATGCGGCAATTGGGAAGTTAGAAAGCACTATGAATACTCGAATGGCAGCGCGCAGACGGGGGACAATCACCACAGAGCCCAACCGGACGCGACCAGGCGCAGGCACTCACCGATTGACGGAGCAGCCGAGAGCAGAGGATGGGAGAGCTGAACGATGGTTCTAGGGCAAACAGACGATAAAAGAACGAGATCAAGGAGGCGAGGGATGGAAAGTCTTTGCTCAGCACTGCTGCTCCTGCTCCCTCGCTCGCTCGCGATCGGCCCGGCCTGCCCTGCCCTGCGCTGCCCTCCTGCCCCGGCGCTGCCCCGCTTTCACTTCCTTGCCCGGCCCCTCCTCCTCCTCCCTCCTCCTCCTCGCCCCCTCCTCTCCTTCCTCCTCCTCTTCCTCCTGCTCCGGCCTGCCCCCCCCCCTCCCGCGAGCCAAACAAAACCTTCGCCTTCTCCGCAACAGCAAGCGAGCCACCAATTTGCCGGGCCCTCGACTTTTCAGATTTTCCGCCCTCAGGAAAATGCGCTAATAGTTCTCTGTCCCTTGCGGCCTCGCCTAGGACCAGTCCACGTGTGGAATCCTCATTCACGAGCTCAAAGGCGCCCCTCTCCCGGCGCGCTGCCCGATCGCCATCCGACGGCCCGCGCTCGCCTCGCCCCGCCCGACTGCGATTTCTGGTACCGGAGAGCCCGAGTCGCCCAGGACAAAATATCTATTTTCCGATTTTCTGCACTTTCCTTTTATCTATTTTCCGCCACCTCCCGATTTTCTGGTCTTCTCTTCTCGATGGCCACCTTCCCTCGACACATACATTTGGCCAGGGCCGCGGCCGTTCAACGCCGTGCAACGTCTGCCTGTTCGTTTGGCTCTTTGCACCAATTTGCTCGCCGCATGTGCTCTCCATCCAACATTTCACAACTGTTGCCTCCCACATTTCGCTCAGGGCTCGGTTTTCGCACTTCCACATACTCATGCCTGCACTGGAGAATCCATTTTTTCCCTGCCAGAATTCTAAGAATATATTCCCCATCGGATACTTCATGACCTCCCGATTTCACGACAATTGGAATCAACATACTCCACATTTCCTCTGAAAGGTTCCTTCCTTTCTTTGAGTCATATCGACTCATTTCAGCTCTTGCTTATGCCAATGTGCATGCTTATGTGTTTACGTGTATATGGAAAAACTATAAGTCATGTTTATATTTCTCTTACCAACTACTCTCTTTTACGAACTGTTTTTAGTCCCCATTCTACATCTTCAAGATCTACATCTGAGTGAGTATTGCTTCATGTGCATGAAGCATTCTACCACTCCTTACCATGAAGTGTTGCACATCTGGAGATCATGCGGTATGCCTAATGTTGTGGTTCTGGTCATGGTGTGAGAGGGTGGATACGTGACATTCAGATAGCCCTACTATGCCTTAAAGCCTAGTCACTTGGGTCATATCTGTACTTGTGGATCCAATTGTGATTGGATATCCTACAAGTGACAAATCTGAAGATAGTGAATTTTCATCTGCTTTGATGTGACTCGAGTAGAGGGCCCATAGCTTAGATCACCGTATAGAAAGTTTTGCATACAGATTACCTATTTGATATATAGCTATGGAGGTATAAGGACACTTGAACATAAAATCCAACGCGAGTACAAGATTATCATACTATGAAACAAGATATTCCACTCTTTACTGAAAGCTTTTGAGTTTTGTCTTGTCGGTACAACTCATTTTACACAATGTGATATCCTTTGCTTTATAAAAAGCACTATCTTTCTATATGAACATCGTCAGCGTTCATGATACATTCTTCATATTACATATGCTACGTTTACAGTTTAGATGCTCTAGGTTTGATTTGACGTGTTTTTTCTTGTAATGAATTTGTAATATAATCCATAATCAAATCGTTTGTATAATTTCATTTTTTATTACAACTTCCATACGATAATCTTGAGTTTTTTCAGATAGTATCAACACATGTAATAAATAAAATATATATTATATAAATTTTAATTTCATTATCAATTCAATTCATCACCTTTTTTTTGCTTATACACTTGTATTGTGATAACATATAAAATATATACCAATTTGATAATAAAAAATCATAATTTGTGCACAATTCGATTTAAAATTTAATGGAATATAATGATATGTAATTACTCAAGTATATTTGTTGAAAATCTAATATTTTCTTATAAAAAATAATTTAAATAAATACATTGTATTTGATAAGAATATTACCAATAGTATTTTTATGTTATATACAAAGGATTAAATACAATGTAAAAATTAAAATACTTGAAACTATATTTATTCTCATTCTAAATTATTACTACAGTCAATATTGGTGTAAATATCTTACAATGTGGTAGAACCATTCTTCCCCACGGTAAACTTGTACACTCATATGATGTTATGGAAGTAAAGTTATGATGTATTCAACCTGTTATGCTAATTTTGACAACATCAGAATTTCAATCATTTTGAATCAATAATTTTTATTGACAAACATACCAATGATGTTACAAGTATTTTTCTCAATTTAAATTCATTTTTTTACAAACCAGATTCTCAATTTGAGTTATATAAGCACTTGATCCTCTTGTTTGTAAGGATTGTGTAGATGTTTTTTAAATGAATAAAAATATAAAATTAACTGCCATTTCATTACATTTTTTTAATCCTCATGAGATTAACAATGATAACTTCCTTTTTATAACAACAAAATGTAATATACAAAATTTGTGAGAGTCAAACGTGAAGGCATTTTTTGAATTTGACTTACACATTAAATGTTAATCTATAAACATATTGTTTTATGTTTATTAGAAATAAAGTTAAAACAAAAAATACTAAAACTAGTATCCATTCAAGTACTATGAAAGTAATAATTTATTTATAATCTTATCAAATCGTATAATGCAAGATTTATAAGAATTTTTAATATTATATGATTGATCTAAGCTACAAAAACAAGACTTCATGGCAAGTGTTTCATTGCAGATCTATTCAAAATTCAAAAATATATAAAACTGCAAAAAGTGTTATTTTTTTAAAACAATTGATCACTTTGGAAGTTATTCACACATGCTATTAGTTTGAAACACTAAGTGTGATTCATTCGTTTACATAGAATAAGATGTAAATAAAACATAACCTAACATGACTACACTTAATAATGAAGCTATTAGCTCTTTCACTTTCAAGGTATAACTCGCAGACCTATCATTGCTCAGATCATGATGGCGTGCAAAAATGAGAACTAGTATAGAAATATATAAGCAAAATTGCGTGAAAAAAGTTCATATATGGATTAATCCAAAATGATGAAGATGAGCAAAGGTAAGTTTGACGTATCTAAGGATTCAAAATGGACTAACACTTTCTGTATCAATTTGTATGCAAGATGAGTCATATTTGGCTTGTCTACATTCTTTGATTATAATGATGTGATCGTTGAAAGATTCAATTTGTTACACTGACTCCTTTGAATGATATATTTTCTTTGATCATATCGTTGTGATGGCAAACATATTCATTCCGCTTACAAAGATTTCAAAAGAATAAGTTTTATAAATAACAGCAAATGCACGCTCGTCGCGTTTGAGCATAAATTATGACTGTTCACATTATGCTGTTCAATTTATATATAGTTTGAAAAACAAATTTCTTTATTTTCACCATTGCACGAAATGTTGATAGAGACATGAAACAACAAACGGCGGAAGTCAAACTGCAGATACTCTTGCTATTGTTTAAAGTTTAAATGTGTGTAGTGTTGTGGATAGTTTTGATGAAGTATTTGCGGGATTTGAACAAGTGGAGAATTTTACACCGATGTGTGCAATCAACAAATTAAATAGAATTACAGTGATGGAAAAAATATGTCAATGTTACAGTATTGAAAGAAAAAGAATAAGATGTGACTAGCTTTGATAGCATAGTGTAACCATCTTTAGTTAGTTAGAACCAAAGTAGAAGTTACTCTAAATATTGATATATATACTTTAGTGTGCACTTGTCATAGTTGACACGTCAGCGATCCGCGCACTTGGTAGGTACAAAGTGGATGTGTTAGTTGACAGTGCCATGTCAGCAATCCGTGTGCTTGTAGGTAAGGATTTAGTGTGTTAGTTGGGAGCGCAAAGTTAGCGATCCGTGTGCTTGTTAGGGTTATCCGCAACGTCATACATCCACTAGGAGTGGGATGGATGGTGGGGATAAGATTTTATCTCCTTGTACTTGTTGGTAAGAGCTATATAAGGGAGAGTAGAACCATTGTTGGTATCTTTCATCTTCAGAGTTTACGTTTCTATCTTCGAGTGAGCTTCTCTCTAAATCCTAGTGTTACACATAGATATAGAATATATATACTACTACAACTTAGAATTCATACAAATTCAAGTGTACACATTATATAAGCACAATACAAATCATCATCCATGTAAAACCTTAATTTGTGCTATATTAGTCTCATTTATGCAAAATATATGCCGTAAAATAATTAGAATAAAATTATAGCTCATGTAATTTAGTATGCTTTGCACATGTTAGATAATGTGTATCTCTCTCTGTATTAAATTCAAAAGCCATAGTAAGTTGTTATTCATATGAGTGACAAACAAAAATTATTTCTATCAATTTACTTTACTTCATTATTACCTCGTCCAAAGGATAGATATTATTTCACTATAAGAAATATCAATTACATGATTAATAAATAAAATAATTGCAGCCTATATTCTTCAAACCCTTAGATAACATTACTCAAGTAGCTTTTTCATTTGATTGGTATATAATCATATCATTTGAAAAGACATATGTATGTAATATCTGTAATCATATCATGCAATCATAACACATTGATTTTCAATATGATTCAATGTTCATATGATTCAATTTTCAATTGTGTCAATGCATTTTCAAATAATGCAAAACTACATATTGTATCACTAATAGCATCATGAATACATTTTCTTTGAACAAAATGATATAGAAAGACATAATACTTTGTGAAAAACAAATAGTATGAAAGTTACAAATTTTTTTCATATCTAACAAGTACTTGACAAGTTATTTAATGATAAATCTTCAAATACTTCATTTTTTATTTATTTTCAAAAATTTACATGAAAATACAATGATACGCATATTACATCATAGTTTGCAACATATTCAAAATGATAAAATGTGTGCTGATAATGAAAACTAGCCCAACCTGATTGATAAAATGTTCATAAAATAAAAAATTTCCATCAAGTATTGATAAAATAAATTAACCCATTTTAATTCATGTCATAAGTCCAAATCTTCATAATTCAATGATTTTCTAGAGTAAAATGTTATAAATATGTACAAAACAAAACTTTTTCTAATGCTACTATGTTTCATCTTACGTCTACATATATCAAATTGAATGATGTGATTTTTGTGTAAAGATGTATATTTTTAAATGTATTTCAACTTGATATAAATGAAGACAAAAATATAATGCAAAATTTGAATCCAATTCAAATACAAATATTCATATATATAATATGTAAATATAATTTGCAAAATTTTGCATTAATTGGGAGTAAATATAAAATATGTGTTAACAATGTGTTTATGATATAAATATTTAAGCATTATAATATAGATATAAATAAATTCATACATATTATAAAATAAAATAAAAGCGATTTTTTTACAAGAATTAATTTTAAAATGATTAAAGAAATATAGAAAAAAAATTCTTTTTTATAATTAACTACTCAAATAAATATAATCAATATGTATATTTTGAAAACAAGTAAAGTAAACTATTAAGCACAATCTATAAAATGAATCCAATATATATATATATATATATATTTTTTCTTTCTGGTCAAATCTTGTTTACTTTCAATATAACTTACATATTTAAAATAGTGATACACTCATGCGCAAAATTATATTGATAAAACTCGTTTGTGATTGATGAGTT